GAACAATGCAAAATGCAGCAACAAAATTCACACAAATACCCGTACATACATTACACACACAGGCAGCACTGAAATATAATTGTGCATCATATATTGAAAGTATTAAACTGAGCTTATAAAATTTAAACTATAAAAATACACACAAAAAGTTTCTAACTTAAATGGGAAAATGCGAAAACTAATTGACAACATTTTTGACTTTCGTTTTAAAAAGAATAATATAAAAAAGTCTGAAAAAAAAGGTAAAATATATATACAAACAAAAACAAATAAATACATAGAATATGGAACACAACACATGACACCTTTTAAATTGCAAAACAGAATAACCACTGACACAAGGCAAATTAACAAAAAAAATTATGACAACAAAATTGTTCAGAGAAGACAAAATGCAATTCAATAAAAAGTTCGTACACAACATATAAATTTAAATGAATAGGCAACCCGGCATTACCAAATGAAAAGAAAAACTAAATATATTTTGTATAATAATACTTCGTTAGCTTTTAGTTTTTGGTTTTGTAGAGGTCTGAACAAAACTTAAAACTCATAGGCAACAAAATATCAGCCATTTTTGGTGTGACCTGTAAATATTACAATATATTGTATTAAAATTTGCGTAAGCTTTGAATATATTTATTTAATAAGAATTTTCAAATTATTTAAATGTGCTGATAAAATTTTTTTTTAATGCATAATAATTGTTAAACCGATTACTTTATTGTAAGCTCCTTAATTCAAAACTATTTTGTACAAACTTCCAGCTTAACAAATCTTTTGTTATAGTTTTAGACAATCAACTATTGAAATATATAAAAAAGCAGCAAGGCGAAATGAAAACAAAGAACTAATGACAAGTAAATGGCGTAACTTTTCTGTGAATAAAATCAACTAAATGAGTAAAAACCCTATAAATCATTAATTAATATTTACCCTTAATGACACTATAGAAAACACAAAAAAAGAAATGAAAAAAAGAATTTGCGAGAAAGGAGAATTTTGATGAAAATCATTCCAACAAAAACCATTTATGTAAATTGTTTCACTTGGGAAATCGACACGCTAAAGCAAAAACTAAATAAATAGAGAAATAAATGAAAAATCGTTTTATCAAATAATGCAAAACACAAGGAAGAAAAATGAAGACACTCGAGAAACGAAATCGAATTAATGTCGAATACATAAAAGTGTATATGCTCTCATTGGTTGTGTTTTTAGGTTATAAACAACTAGGTTTGGCTCTGTGTGGGTGTGTGGGCGTGTGAGTGTGCCGGCCGTTCGTCCTGCACACACACAAACACACGCACCGCCCGAACAAACAAACAGGCAAACAATCGTTCATTCAATCACTCAATCAGTCAGTCAGTCGATCCCACCCGCGGTCGCTCGGACTTATAGTTGTACAGTTCATTTTCACATTGATTCATAAAAATTAACGAATAAATTAAATTACCTTAGCTACCGAAAAGCGGCAGAAAAAGGCGGTTATCTGTATATTATGCTAGTAATGTCAAACATTTTGAATTGCCTTTTTGAATCGATTCTGTTCAAGTTTTCTTAGGTTTCTAGCTAAATGTTTAGTGTGCTTAATATACAAAGGTAATCGAGAAGAAACCATGTAATTTAAATACTGCCACAAATAAGACAAAAAATTAATGCAAATAGAACATATAGAAAATATACACATATATGTATCATCTATATGTGATACGAGTACGAGTATAATGATATACGAACTAGTTAAGAGCAAAAAATTTTCAGAGTGTGTCCACGGAAAAGAACTATAGATTCGATGCGGAGAAATAATGGAAACTCAAACTAGTCACGTAAGGGTAGATCAAGCAGATCGGTGCTCGAAGTTAACATTGAAGCTAAGTACTAACTATTTAGGCCAGATACGAATAACTCTGTATATAACTAAAGTAACCACCACAAGACACACACACACAGCAATGCATCTACAAGGAGCACACAGTTGAAGCAGTTCATACCTGTATATACAAATATATATTATGAGGCAACCGCCGATCCATCATCGATCGATCATTCAGCAAGCGAAAAGAATTTATTTCCAGTACAATTCATTTCTCGATTACAGTTACAGCAGACAACGAACTTGTGTACACAAAAAACTTAGATAAAGCACAGGAAACTCCTTGAGGAAACTAGTAATGAAAACCACACAACGGTTGGCGAGTGAAATGCCCTTAGATGATGTTTTAAGATAGTTCAAAAATTGTATAGTTGAAAAAAAGAATAGGGTTGATTTAAAATCACTTGAAATGGTGTCTAAAAGTCCTTTTCGACTTAATATCTTTCGAAGCAAGCCCTTAGACACTTTTTCAAGAGACTTCCAATCACCAGAGATTACTCTGGCACTCCTGATGAAATTGCATTGCTTTCCATTTCGATAGGGGCAGACATTCAAGGCTAAAACGTGTTTCATTTTAACAAATCGAAAACAATTTTAAGGCCACTTACACTTAGCACTAACAAATATCATAATTAGTTAAAAGCGAAATAGTTATTAAACAAAATATATTAAATCGAGCAAAGAGGAATAACTAAAGAAAATAATTACGATGTAAACAGGAAATTGAGGTATTTGATAAATATGCGGCTTGACCCTGAGATTCAAAAAACATAAAATCGTATGTCTTCCAATCAAAGGTCGTCTTTTGTAGCAAACACAACAAGAATCAAAGTCTGCGTATTGCTAAAAAACAAAAAACAAATAAGCAAAACAAATTGGAAGCAACTGTGGAGCTGATTAATGCAGAAATGCTGGAAATAGTTAAAGAACAACCACCTACACAAACAGAAACATACACCATCAAACGCCAATCTACACCAATACACACAAATACACTCTGCACTGCAAAGTCGATTAGCGAATAATCATTGCATCTCTTAGTGGTTTGATAGGAAAATTAAAGATGACACCTTTTTCGGTTGGCGAATATTATTCCTCACTTTCTCTCGCTTGAACTCCTACCCATTTCGTTAGCCAGTAACTAATCAAGTACCTGACAATAGATGAACTACACACTTTTCCAGAATTTCTAAGCACACCACATAAGTCAAATCCCATTAAAGCTCGTCTTGTACATACAGTTGCCGAATGTTTAATTCGATTTGGCTAACAAATTTCCATGAAGTTGGCTAGAAGCGAGGCAAATCTAAAAATACATAAATTAATTCATTAAAAACGGTTTCAATGACAGCTAGCAAATTTAGAAGTACACATTTCAGAGCAATCACCATTTTCCCCATGATTTATAAATCAGCCATAAAGCTAAATGATTTGCTTTCTTTTATAAAATTGCAAAGCCAGACCACTTTTGTAAAATATTTCTACAGAGTAAGGGCAAAACAATCAGCTGACCTTAGGACCTTGCTTTGCAAATAATTTCAACATTCAGGAGATCCAATTAAAATGGCTGGTGTTTTGAAAGCCGTGTTAAGGTGTCTTAATATTGGCATTGACATATTTGAATTCAAATATCTGATGGACAAGAAATCAAAGAACAACTGCATGAGTTTCAAGCGATTCCTAATGCACTTTGGAATATTTAAAAAACCCAAAAAAAATATTTTCAAAATGTTTTCAAATCCTTGGCATAAAAAATTCGCAGATAGGCAGGCAGCGCAAAATACACACACCCTCAGACTCTCTCACACACTGATCCACTGAAAATACTTAAATGTTTAATGCTTGTATGTATGCGTTACGTATGAATCCGTGTGAAAGGCATTGCATGTGTGTGTGTGCGAAAAAAGGCCAAAATCAAATGTGTAAATTCATAAACTTTAAATAACTATATGTTTGAGAGTATATAGTACTTAGAGATATACATTATGCATATACACCTATATGTATATTTTTTGTATTAACTATTAGGTGCCGTTAGAATTAAGTGCTTCCGTTGCAAGTTTTGTGTACATTTTCTTTCAATTCGTTCGATCAAGATATGAAAAACAAAAATCAATTTTAGCGTCAAGATTTTTAACTCAAAACAAATCAAAGAAAATGGCAAATCTTAAAATCTTGCAACTCACTGGGGAAAACAACACCACGAATATTAAAGTTAAAGGTAAAATGCCTACGGGCTAAACTAACGACAATTTGCTCAAAAAAAAAAAGAAAACTAAACCAAATATATGAATAATAAATATACGTACATATAGGCAGTAAACTAAAGCCAGATATAAATACAAGCATGAATTGAAGATTTAGTTAGGCGTCCCAAGCGCTCACTAAAAATTCTACACAAAAATCAATTTTAACTAAATTGAAAATTTAGTTAAATGGCATCGCATAACTTAAGAATGATAAGTTACGATAATCCATAAACAATTTATGTAAAATACTTGCAACTAAGAATAGGCTAAGCTAACTTTGACACTGCAAATCAATGCAAGATCAGCAATAAGTAAACATAAAGAAAAGGTACATGAAAAATTTGTGCATCAGTTATTCAAATAAATGTGACACAATACTTAAACTTAACCGGAAAAGCGTTGCATTTACATTTCACATAACAAATACATGCGTAAATATATATATATGAATACTATATATATTAAATATATATTCGAAACTCTCTTGAACAACAAAACTGCAGACATATTACATAACAAACAGAAACTAAAGTAATTACACTCACGCGCAGCCAGCAAGCTAACAATTAAACATTGAAAATTGATCAAAAATTAAAAGATCATAAGCCAAAAAAAAAAAATTAACAAAATCGATAGAAGAAAAATTAATATGTTGACTAACACAACAATATAAAAAAAGAAATGCATTAACAACTTAAATGTAAGACACTAAATAACGAACTAAAGCTAAACGCAAAACAAAATGAAATAATAGCAACAATTGCGAAAAATAACACTAAAATTGAAAACAATTAAAAAAAACGACAACACATTAAAAGAAAACAATTACTATATAAATAAATGTTACGCGTTATTAAATAAAGAAGAATGAAAATAATTTGTTTTAAAAAAAATGTATCCTGTCTTTTATTTCAAAAATTGTGGGTCGAAAATGGGAATTTCTATTATCAGGTTTTTCTATTTTAACTTATTATTTTTCCAGTTTATCAAAAAAAACTATCGACTTTTTGACTTCAAGCAGTTTAAGAAAATTAATAAAACCTTTTAAATCCATATTTCTTATTTTATTTTTAATCCAGTTTTGAGGGTCCTCACATATAGTTAAACGAACTAAACTTTGTGGTAGTGGCTGCCATATATTTTCCCAAAGCCAAGGCCAGCAACGAGAACTGACAATCCGGATAGATTTGGTGGCACTCTCGAGAGTTCCGCTTGGATCGCCGGTAGATACGATCGTACTGGTGATGGGCCCGGGGCTCATGGGCAGCCACCGGAGTGGGCGGCAGGCTAAAGACGGTCCTGACCAACTCCTGCAACATATTTCCGCGTTGCTGGGGCGGCAGCATAAATTTGGCACTTTCGCAAAGAGCTCGAGCCACGCACGAGCGTCCATTGAATCCCATGCTAAAAGGAGGCACCAAAAGTTGTATTAATATATCAATAAAAGGGGTAAAAAATTAATGAATTCCAAAAGAATTAAAAAAAATATGCAAATAAAATGTTTTTATAGTGAAAAAATAATTAAAGTTTGTTTATGATATTTTTATTTCTCCCTTCTTTTATTTTGTATGAGTACTTTTAAATTAAACTTATTAACTTACTCTTTTGACATACATTTTTATTAAAATAATTTTTTACAAAGGTACCCTCCCTTTTATATTTATAAATCACTCACTTGTCAAATAAGGACTGCACCTCGTCGTAGAAGGCTCGTCGCGAGCGGCGCTTGATGGTGTCCTTGGCCAGGGTGGCGTTCAGTCCGTGGGCGTGCTGGATGACCCATTGGTGGTTGGGCAGATCGTAGGCCACGCCCCAGTTGACTGCCCAGCTAAGATAGTCCACATCGGGGTTGCCAATCATGCCGATCGTCATGCAAATAGCTCCCTGCAGGTCGGGACACCATTAGAGCCACTAGAGTCAGCAACTGGTCTTTGAGCAGTCATTAACACACACTCACACCGAAACCGAAGAGCCCTCCGGAAATGCCAGATAGCGCTTGTGCCGTCGTAGAACTTTTGTCACCACCTGTGTGGCGTTTGCATCTGGTGTCGCGGACAGCACCTGGGATTGCACCTCCTGCACCTGTGGCACTGCCAGGAGGCATAGTGCCAGCAGACTGAAGTGACAAGTCGAGGAGAGACTCATACTGTGTGTGCAACGTTCCGTTGGTAACTGAATTCCGACCCAAAACCGAACCACTCGCTTTAGCGGCTTATTAGCTCAAGTGCTCTGTTGATTGCACTGATTAGCGGCTGGCTGTAAAGTCTGCTTTTAACAAGTACCCATTGTTGGTGGTCTTTCTCGATGGGGCTCCAACCCACCATCCACCATCCACCTTTCCCACACCACTTGGCCATCGGTTGTCGACACGGCCAACTCTGATTGCTGTAGCATGTAAATTTCTGTCAACAGTGGAAAATACTCTTGTTTTGTTTCCACTTCCAGTCCAATTGTCAGCATTGTGAAGCGAAAAACAAACAGTACAAATTATGGAATTGCCAGTGAGGATCCCTGGGGAGGGAATTGCATACACGATGGATCCATCAATATGTCCATGCCCTTTGCTAATTGAAAATGCATTTATGGCATCATGGCCTTGGTTTTTAGTTTTGAGACGGCAAAGGTAAATACTAACTTTTTGGTCTTCTGCCTAAAAAACCAAAACAAAACATTTTGAAGCGCACCATAAAATGACCGAACAAATTGACAATAAAATTCCCGATGTAAGAGTATTTACTTAATTTCCATTCAACTTTCCGGTTTCGGCGCACAATAAAATATATATTTTTTGTTCATCAATTTATGCACTTAATTTTTCGTTTGTGTTTATTGTTTGAACTGCGGCAATATTACAGAATTTGTAAAAGCTTAATGCAGGACAATTTATTTTTTGTTAACTGTTTTAAGCTCAAATAGCCCCTTTCAATTCAGGAAAAAAGTTTAACAGCCAGTTGAACGAGGCTGTCATAAATAAATTAGTCTCTTTTTTTAGAGTTTATAATAAGGATTGCATTACAACCTAATAAAAAAGTTGACTATTTTTAGAGCTTCATAATATCTTATTATTTTCTTGAATGTATGAATTAAACTGCTTAAGGCAAAATTATTGTATTGGTTTTAACTATTTCAGTTAAAATATTTCAAATGCATTCCGCCCGGAATTTAATTTGAAGGAATGTTCATAAATTTTATCGTTCCGTTTATTACAATTAAATTGAACTTTCATCACAATCGATTAACTTTGTAGGAGTTTACTGGCGCCCTGCTGGTCGGCGCAGTTTGATAAATTCATTGACATGTATTCCGTATTTCGTTTTTATTTAATCAAGGCGCGTTTTTCTCCAGGAACCGTTCGCTGATGAGCAGCAAAAAACTCTGCCGGCAATGCGGTCCGTACAAACTGGCGCATTCGTGGAGCGAGTGGCCGGCGGTGAAGGCCTCCCGATACTTGGGATTATGGGCTATCTCCGGATGCACGTAGCGCAGCATGATGCGGAAGATATCGTGGAAGAGCGTTAAGCCCGGCGGAGCCAGCAGATGACGCGCCTCGCACAGAGTCCGCATGATGCAGTAGCCGGGCTGGTAATTAAACCTGCATGTGGGTAAAGTGAACCGGCAAGGGAATTGCTTTAACAAATTGCATTGCTTTAATGCTCCATGAAATAATCTTAAGTCTTAGGGGCTTAAATTTGGTTCATGAACATTATGGTCAACGCTTTGCCTAATCTACTTTAACAGTATATATCTAAATTGCATCTCTTTTGTATGTTGTCTTCATTATAATTGTATTCCTTTATAATTAGTAAAAATCCATTAGAGCAATAAACAATTGCAAAATTAAAATAAACTTCAGAAAATAATTCAACATAAATCACGATTGAATTATAATTTTTAACATTTCCTTAAATAAATAATAGAAACAAGTCTCAATTTTAAATTTATATACAAATAAAACAATAACTTGTTGAACAGCTTGAATAAATAAAATAATTGAATAAACAAACTCTACAAAATGATATGATATCATCAATTAAAGCATAACATGATAATCAAACATTAAACTTTAATTAAACATAACCAAATAGAATAATGAAATAGAAAATAATATGACATCTTGACGATTAAAAAATAAAATTATAATCAAGCTCTGACATTAAACACCGGGTAGAAGTTATTTCTTTAATAGTAAAATATAAATAAATTGGAATCCATAAAGAAATCGAAGTCGCATACATCATTTGATACCAACACACATTTTAAAACCATTTAAAATTTCTAGAATTGAAATTCTATAGCTTTTTCATAAACAATACATTTTTGTGTGTATACTCACATGGTTGACATGATGGCCAATATGTCGAACAGCATGCCGTGCGGACTCTGCGCCTCGCTGATCACCGTGGTTCCCCGGCTCTCCAACTCGCGTCTCAGCCTGCGGGACATGGCCGAGGGTCGGCAGTAGTAGGTCCCGAACATATCCTTAACCAGGTGCGAGGCGGGACAGCCCATCTGCATCTGCTGCGAATAGGACTTGCGACGGCTCAAGGTGGGAACGCCTTGAGGATAGGCAAAGTAAAAGGACTGAATGGGATCCGCGGGATTCAGAGGCACAATCACCGGCTGTGGTTGGGTCACAACTGGGGATCCAAGTCCAGGTGGCGGTGGAGGAGGCGGCGGTGGAGGTGGTGGTGGAGGTGGGGGCGGAGGTTTCACCTTTGGCTTGCCCACATGTCGCGGTATCCAATCTTCAATGGCTGCCGGTAACTCATAAAGACTCGTGACCTCAACCAGATAAACTAATCCTCTGGGAATGGTGTCTAGCACGGCCTTGGCGAAGTTTGCCGTTAGCTGTCTCCAACCAAAAAACAATAACATTAATTTAAACTAATTAAATACTTTAAAGTATAAATGAAAGAGTCGTATTTCAATGCAATTGTCTGGAACAAATTAATAAATAAATTGTTATTTTCCACGGATTGCTATACCAATTAAAGTTCAATTTTAAAATTCACAGAAAAGAAAAACCTACCGTCATAGCTGAACCCAGTTCAAAGGTGAGCCAGCGCTTTTGGCGATGCAGTAGATGAATCTTTTCGTGCATATAGGTTACTCCTCTACTGCCGGAGTTACTTTTGAATCTAAGGGAGTCCGTCCCATTACCTGCCAACGCTAAGGTTACCAACAGGGCCACGAATACCAGTCTAAGCCAAATTAAATTTTCCATTGCGAAGCCAGCGGCGACCGACTAAGAACTAAAGAACCAGAAAGCACCCGATTCGACAGTAAACTCCAGAATGGCCAAGTTTCAATTCCGTTCGCGTGCCTCTTCAATTTGGTCCGGAGCGAATCTTGACCGCATTGCAAGCAGCTATTTGGCCAACACATTAGTCCGAAAGGGGTCACTTGGCCGGGCTCTAATTCAATTAACAAGTTGGCATTTTGATAAACCGCTAAGACAAAATGATGAACGAAATATGGTAGAAATCAAGGGCCCGAACTTTGAATCAGTTGGAAAGATGTCTGCAACTTGGCTGACGTTATTGCTCACGGCATGGCTCTTGGGCCAGAGCCAGAGCCACTCGCCGGATGAATTTGCTCCGCCGGCGACGAGTCACGAAGCCGGCAAAGTCAACAATGCCACGCTGACTCCGCCAGGACCCGTCGCCCAGGGAATACGGGACATCGACCGGGTTTTGGACCGGGACCGGGACAGGGACCCACTGACACCGCATGCGGCCCCATCGTCGCAGCGGAAACTCTCGAGAGGCAAGCGCTTTGTGGCCTTTCCCCAGGGTTCATCAGCTTCGGTGAGTCAATGAACCCACGAACAAAGGGACAACATGCCGTCCCTCTACACGGAACCAAATAAGAAAATAATATCTATTTTATTTTATTCTACTTTAAATATCTAAATATTTCTACGTAAATAAAAAATTTATTTTTAAACTCTTTTCTGAACGAAAGCTTTTGTCATAGTCACAATCATTTGCCATATTTTAAACATTCTTTGCTTCATTTTATTTAAAAATAAACAAAATAATTTCTTTAAAACGCGAATTTATTACAAAATTACAGTTTTGAATACACAATTTGAAACATTTTTTGCAAAAGAGTTCTTTAAACCAATCGGCATTAAAACTTATTGAAATTTCCTAACAAGTATTTTCTGGCCGTGTTTTAGGGCGCTGTCTGTCTGACCACCGGTGTCATCGGCAACCCCAACCTACTGTACCTTAGTTTGGGCATCAATTGGGGCGTTGCCTACGACCTGCCCAATGTCACCTGGGTGCTGCAGAATGCCCACGGCTGGACCACAAAGAAGTCAGCGAAGGCGCAAATCAAGCGCAGACATCGACGTGAGCTCTACGGTCGCCTGGAGACAATGATAGACAGGTGAGTGGGTCGGAATCTCATGGAATCTCATGGGTCAACGCCACTTGACCATCTCCAGTCAATTTCGGTGTGTGCAAATTCACACAAAAGCTGAAATTTTTGGCTAAGCTGAATTTGTGTCTTGTGGTTCCATAGTGGCAACATCTGACAAAGAAGTTTTGAAAATGTTTGGTATCCCATGAAATTAATGTTTTTTGATATGTAAGTGGAAACTATTACTTCAAGCTTCTTTTTGCCAACCAATGCTCCAATTCGAATACAGAGCTCAAGTTGATTTCATAGCCGCAAATCAAACTGACAAAGTAAATAAAAGCTTAAAATAAGTAGTGAACCACCAGATGTCAATTGACTTATGTGTGTATAACTCATTGAAAATTCTGTTCAACAACGTGCTGTGGAAAAATTTTTTTAAAATATATGTTTTTTTTTTAATATTTTTTTACACTATTAGTTCAATTTTATAGGATAATTGTTTTTTTAAACAGGCTAATACACTTCATATTTCGTAATCTTTATAAATTTTTTAATCAGTTACGCATTACTACGTAGATCTTAAATACCCTACCTTTTTAATTAACCAATATATTTTAAAATGAAAAACTCACACTGATTAATGAGTTTTAACCATTTCATATTTGATTCGCACTGTACAAAGCACAGAAGTATGCTCCCACTCATATGTAGATACTTTACATGGTTCAAGTGGCAGGTTCCCCAGTTCAACGGGCTGTTTTCGCTGCCAAATTCAGCCAAGCAGCCACTTGGCTTATCACGCACAGTGCGGCCAAGAAAACTTCGCACCCGAAGTGGTCGTTGTCCCGACCCTGCCCTGCCCGGCCCCTGCCCTGCCACGCCCACCGCCCCGAGGCCGCCCTACTCGGGGATGCGTGCTCATGGCATAATAATAAAATGTTGGTATTTTATATTAGCATTTAAATTGGCTTTTTGTATGCTTCGGAAATAGTTTAATATCCGTAGAGGAAGAGTCTGAGTCGGAGTCTGTGGTTCGGCAACTTTAACTTGAAGCCAATGCGAAAAATGCATAACAAATTAGGCCGTAATTGGGGGAGAGTTATGTGGCGTGTGCCGTTAAACTATCTGCAATCTGTAAAATGTCTTATCAACGAGCAGCACACACACATACACACACACATCAGGATAGGGATACATTATAGGGGATACAGAATACGGGATACAGTGACGGGCGTTGTCATGGTAATCAAAGGACTTGGGCCTCTTTTCGAAATTCTGCCACAATTCCAGAGCCCGGCTAAGCTTCAAGTGGTCGTCAAGAAGTTACCATATTTGTCCTTCGACCGGCTTTCCCTTTGGCATCTGCCTTGGATTTTCCCCTGGCTTTGACCTCAGCTTCACGTGTCGGGAATTCGGTGTGTTCTGTGCTGTGTGTTGTGTGTGCGCCCGTCTTGTGTTTCATGATTGTTTTCCCTCGATTGGTTTCGCTTTTCGATTGTCTGTTTTGCTTAGCGTCCCACAATTGATGCCCGGCAATTTTGGCCCTGACTTTTGGCATTGGCTCGTCTGGTTTACGAGCGACTCCGCTCCCTCTAATGGGCCAGCTAAGCGCCTTCCCCGGCCTCAATTGCCTCTATCCGATGTGTCGGGATATACTTATAGTATGCGGATACGTATACGTACGAGTGGGAGTCCTTGTGAATGCGATGTATGCCCTATGGGGTTAATGAAGTTGTTTGTTTGTTTGCTCGCCTGTCTTTCAGGCCACAGGATTCGAGTTGACAGCCGCCACCGTCGCTGCGGCGGAGGTAGGGCTGAAAAGTTAGTCCACATCTACATTATCCCCTGGAAATTATACTGCCTGCTGTGAAACTCCTTTGAGCAGAAAACAAATGTTATACGAATACCAATGCATACTATTGTAAATTATGATTTAACAAAAGCTTGAAAATATTAAATATTTATTCCAATTCTTTTAAATATATTTGTGATAAAGCCAAAGTTTTATAACCAGTATTTCAAGTACATACGAGGCGTTTTTATTCTTTATCTTTCCTAAAACTAATATTTAAAGCTGTTTGAATTTTCCTATGGAAAAAGAATAAATAATTATTAGGCTTTAACTAAACGATTGTCAAAACACTAAATACAGAAACCCTATTACTGGAGAGTGTACTTATATTGCCATTTATATTCACTGTGCGGCGGAGTTGGCAAATATGGGACGCCTTTGCCGTGCCAACTCATCGATCTCTGTCATCGCATCTTTGACTTTGTCGAGGCAGTTCGACCTTTTCCATGGCATCGACGGGTGCAGGTGCAAGTGTGCAGGGAGATCGAGATGGAGATGGAGGTGCATGTTGGGGTGCAGTTGCAAGTGTCGGCACAGGCAATTCAATTAAGTTGCAGCGCCTGTCTGGCCGCCCCTTGCCCCTGCATTCCCCTGGCCAACAACCTTTTGGGCCGGTGCCATGTTTATTGTAAACGTGACTGCTGCAAGTGTCTGAAGAGCATTCTAAACGTTAACGGACAATTGACACATTTGCACTTTGGCCACTTTTTCTTTTGGCCCACGGCATCTGGCCATTTATTGCATTGTCTTGGCCGAAGCGAGTTTTCATCTGCAGTTTCCCAATGCTGTTTGCTGTTTGCAGTTGCAGTTGCAGTTACAGTTACAGTTGCAACTTTCAGTCGCCTGCGAGAGTGGCACGTGCCACGTTGCTTGCAGCCATGATTTACGCGCACTCCGTATTGTTTAATTATCGTTTAATTGTTGCAAAGTTTTTGATTTACGATTTAATTGCAACGACAAATGCAACGCCCTCTTTTACTGTCGCCGCTGCCTCGTTTTTTCCGGGCAATGTCAGCCGTGATTTATGGTCGCCGACAACATTGATGACTATGATGGAACGTGCAGACGAGTCCACTCCATCCGAATCCCCATCTCGGCTTGCATCATCGCAGCTGTTGCACCGGCGGTGGCAGCGGGTGCTCAGTCGTCCGAAGCGTTATCTCAGTTTCCCGGAGGGCTCCTCTTTTTCCGTATGTCTCCCTTCTTCATCCACTCCCCGTCCAGAGAGTCCTTTGTCACAATGTCCTTTATCAGGTTGCCGTCTGCTTCACCGTGGGCATCATTGGCAATCCGTATTACGGCTACAACAGTTTCGGCCTGAATTGGGGAGTGGCCTACGACCTGCCCAACACTTCGTGGGTCCTTCAGCATTTGCACGGATTTTCAACGCATCCCGTTGCACCGGCTGTCCTGCGAAGAAGGTCCAGGAGCGCCATATATCGGAATATCGAGAACGTTGTGGATAAGTACGCAGGGTTTTTCAAAACAGCCCTTTAACATAATGAAAGCAGTAGAAAGGCTTGAACTGATTCATTATGTCATATATAATTTTAATAATAAGTAATATTGTTTCTAACATTTGTGAGTCGGTAAAACTGAATTTACTTAATTTTAACTTTCACTCGCATTCAGAAACCGACCCTTTTTTGTATATTTTAATTCCGTTGGTTATTATTTTATTAACTCACTTAAGTATTTAAAACATTTATGTATAACGGAGTCTATAATTTCTTATACTTCTCCTAGCATGGGTTATAATGGACGCGACTGCATCTTGAGAACCCTCTGCGAGAGTCGACAGTACTTTCAGCGCACAAAGATGAGCATGGTTGGCGAAATGCTTCGTACTATTTTCAGGTGAGCTGCAAAAACAATGGTAACTATATTGAACAGCTACTTTAACCATTTTTGCAGCCTGCCGAAGCACAGAATTTTCACACGGGAACTGCACGAGAACTCGGATATAGTCCACTACGACCAGGCGTATCGGAATGCCCACAGCGATGACTGCACCCAGTACAATTGTCACTTTTCCCTGCTTGAACTGGCCTTTGGAAAGTACACGACTCCGCCGAAAAATTATTATGCTTAATAAATTCTCGATACTTAAAAACGTTTCGCATCAAATTAGTTTTAAATGTCAACTCGGTCCACCTACATTTCGCAGGGAAAATGTGGGGGAACAAGGCCAAAAGGGCACTTGTTGAGCCAGGTAAAAAATGACACTTCATATATCTTCTGCCCAGCTGCAAGTTGGCATCCTCATCCTCCGCAGGCGGAAGGAATTGATGGTGTCTGTGAGCCGGCTCCAGCTGACTGATGTGGATGTCCGTCTCCTGACACCTTCTGGCCCATCATTACCATGCTGCCAACTGTAAACTGACTTCAATTTGAGCGGAATATAAATATGTTGGCCAAATTTTACTTGACTTTTCTGATGGTCGGTACCTGGAAAAATAAATTCAATACAGACAGAAAATGGCACAGCATTGTCTAGAACTCTGAGTGAAAATTAAGTGACAGGCCGAAATATTTATGACTATTGAACAATAGCAGAAACCATTTCAGAAATATGTGCACTCATAAATTTACAAATCGACCATGGACAAATTTATCAATATATAAATCAATTTTGGTAAAGCCATAATCAAGCGAGTAGCGATGGAACAATAGTACTAATTGGACATTTAAAGAGTTTTAGGCACAGTTGGTAAGATAGTTAAATGGAATATATTTATTTTAATGAATGTGAATGACATTTTATAAGCTCTTCTTAAACTATAAGTATAACCACAGTTGCAGAAAGGGAAAAATAGATTTTATTGTTCTTTATGATTTTATTTGTATATTTTTTAAAGTATATAAACATATAATACAAATTTATAGAGACGAATTTTAAATTAGATAACAGAACATAATTACCCAAAAAAATATTTATTTCCTAACAACTTTTAACTGGCATTAATTCCTGCGAACCTTTAGCTCACCCACCTTTCTGCTGCCCCATTTTCAGGTGTTTACACCTCATCCGAATGCTCCGCTGGCCCCATTTATAATGGTAAACGGGGAAATTGTGGATGTCAACAAGAGTTCTGTGCCAGCAGCAGCTCAGTGAAAGATGGAGAGAAAAGTGTTAACAAGTAGATGTCATGTCCAGAACTAGAATTTCAGAGCGGAACGGAACGGGCTGCTTGACTATGGCAATGGCAATAGCAATGGCCAAAACACGATATGTCACCGAACCACAAAGAGCAATAAATAAATAAGCAACGCCAGCAGTAACAACAAAGCATCAAGAACAAATTCTTTGTTTGTTTGTTTGCTTTTCTTTTTGGCTCTCGTATTTATGTCAGCCAGATTAAATATATCCGAGCTTAAACCAGTAGCCAAGGGGAACTGGAACTGGACACAAGCGGGTCTCGAACAACATGAGAGGCAATTAAACCGGGAAAAACACTCAGAGCTGAAGTAGTTTCGGGGAAAATCCATATTCGTTGAAAGTATTAATTAGTGGACATTTGAACTTTTAAAAAAATCATGATTCACCTGTCAGCAAAGGCATTGCTGTTGCTGCAGTTGGTGCAGGTGCTGCCCGTCCAGGCATCCAATCCTGCTGACACTCTTTCCATTGACAATATGGAGCCCCTCAGCACCAAGTCCAAACATATTGACAGTCCCGTGACTGACTACGAGTCCAGTTCCACCAATGCCACAAGGATTCTGAGGCGGGGCAAGCGTTATCTCCAATTCAGCAAGGGATCACGTATGTCGGTGAGTATGGAATCCTTTTTTAATTGGCTCCCAATCACTGGCCCTTCGACTCCCTGCAGTGGCGTACCAACGGCAAGAACAATCTGTGGAGAATCAACACCCTGTACGCCTACGGCTATGGCTTCCGCACCAACTATCCCTTCCCGTCCATCGAGGAGCAGAAGAAGGATAATGCGGTATTCTTTCGCCTGTTTAAGAGGGACCTCTTCTCCAAGCTGGAAACCGCTCTGGATGGGTAAGTTACCTCAAGTCATGTATTAAAATATTTTCAAATAATAAAAAACAACACAGAGCAAACAGAGCTCTAAAATTCCACGTTTTAGGTGCAATAAGATGGTAAAAACATTTAGATATTTTTCTCTTTGAAAAACAACTTTAAACGATTTATTTGATTGAAAATCATATATTTCGGAACTCTAACTAGGCAATTAACAATCCAATCCTTTCAAATCTATTAAATATATTTTTCCGTATAGACATGGCTTCGATGGGCGAGCTTGCATGCTGAAATCTTTCTGCACCGCCCTGAACGATGTGGATAGCCCGACACAGAAAAGCGGTATGCTCTTCAAAATGCTCAAATTGATATTTAGGTGAGTCGAGCACATAGTTCATTTACAGGTTAAGTGGAACAAAGTTGGTCACTAATTAGCATTGTTCTGATAAGTCTAAGAACAAAAGCAAACCACTTTTAATTCACCGAATGAGTGTATGGCAGCACTATAGATTTTTGTTCGGCTCTGTTAGTTGAGTTCTTACATCGGTTACAATGGTCACGGTTCGGTTAAGTCTACTTCTCACATTTCTCACCCTGGTTGCAGGCCAAGAACAAAATTCCACAACAGTCCACAGTCGAGCCAAGCGATATCTGGATATTATAGAAACCACTCGAATGTTTGTGGGTAACTTTAGAGCCTTAATTGAAAATTAATAGCTAACCGAAATTAGAAAATTAAAATCTTTTAAAATTAAATCTCTCAAATTTGCAACTTCTTCTTTTACAAAACCTTCTTTATAAAACTTTATAAATTTGTTACTTAAATTTGGATTAGTTCGGTTGTTCGGTTAAGACTCTTTTAAAAATTGAAACACCCCAAGAGCCCTTACTAAAAAGGATCAGCTTAATCCAAATTTAAAAAATGAAACTCTTTCAAGTTCTTTAAGTTCCCTACACAAAGCCTAGTTTATTGAACCCTATATATACGCTTACGTAAATTTTTGATAAGCCTATTTTTCGGTAAAAACTTTATAACAACAATACAGACCCCAATAGTTGCTTATAGCGAAGATTATATTCCACTTTCAAGTTCCGCGTTAATGTCAAGAACAATGTGATCAAATCGCCGACTGTGTGGGCCCATGGTTATGGTTTTCGAGCCAATACCCCGGTGTTGGTCAAACGGGAGAACAGACCGTTTCGCAGGGATACCTACGAGTTGCTCCACGAACTGATTGATCGAAGTGGCCTGGATGGGCGGGCATGTGTTCTGAAAGCCTATTGCACCGCCCTGGCCGGCGATCATGGTCAGGGCTTTCTGTTTAAGCTATTGAAATACGTGTTTACGTAAGTGTATGATTAATGATTAATTTGTTATCCCGCGCATCCACATTATTTAATTGCAGCCTGGATGAGCACGACAAGCGACATATGCCCCATCTTCGGGAGGAGAACTGCGAACAAATCATGCATAGTCATTGTCCCTTGAGTTTCGACAGTATATCGCCATATACAGACGATGTTTGACATTGTGCATATTATGTAACACTATTTGTTGTTCTAAGCTATGTAAAATAAACAAAATCAAGATTGAATTGCACATGAAAACATAAATATAAATATAAACGCAAGCCCGACAGTTCTGATTGCCTAAAATAATAGTAGCGATAGTAACAAAAGCACTTTAAAATGATTGAAGCTTTTCCTGGGGCTTCTTTGTATAGCACATTCGCACTTTATAAAATTGTCAATTTGGCATGTTTTAATTACAAATTAAAAACTTAATTTCTGCAAAGGCGATACTCTTGGATTAACGCGGCATATAAGGTTAGTGTAAAAAGAAACACAATTTTATTTGTCAAAAACTTTGTAAAATACTAACTTCAGCATGTAAATTTAGGGTATTCGTTGATTTAATTAAATTTCACATCTAGTTTTTAGTACTTTAAATTATTAATATTAAAAAAAAATATGATAAAAGCCCTCAAATAAAATCCAAGAGTTGGGTGTCAAATTGTCCCAACCATCTAGATACTACCGATTATTTCGTGAAAAGCTCACAGTAAGTGTTCGTGGCTGCTGATGATATTTATTCGCTGTTGTTGCCATTTGTAATTTATAATTAACTTGTGTGCCATTTGCAGGTTTTGGACAAGTGCTTCATTTTTTTTTCGTGCGGCCCCTGATTGTGCGTGTGGCAATCAGCAACGTGCATTTAATTGGCATTTTTATTAAACAGCTGAAAGTGAGCAGCCGGTAAAAAAGCACCAAAAAGGATACCAGCAAAGCGAAATAATAGCGAGGATTCCGAGGCCATTGTTGACCTCGTTGCAGGACAAAAGTGTTCCAGCTGTTTAATGTCACCAGCACGAAAATGCCGAGTGGTGTTAAAATGTTTGCGGCAGCCTTTGATGCACTTGTCACGCCCCCCGAGGAAAACCTGTCGCCCACCGCAGCAGCATTAAAAATTAACTTTAATTAAGTTGAAAAACATAAATAACATGCACGCGTACAAGGGCATTAAATTGCAGTTGAGGGAGCTCTCAAGTCTGTAGTCCGCCACAAGGATACATAACACAAGCGAACAGGTCTGGGAATAATAGAGAATTGGGGTTGGAAAACACACATTATTGGACAAAAACTTTGTGCGTCTTATATCAAAAAATAAAAGTAAAAGAATACGTTGTTAAATGCACGTACTGCAAGGTGTTCGTGTCTCAGCCTTAATCAAGTATTAATTATCGTGGCATGCGATAAATTGCTGCAATAAGAGGTCAACTCCCTTCCAAGCCCCACATCAACTGACCTTTACTTACTTCACATGCACCCATCGACTCCCATTACCTTCACCTGTTTCCCTTTAAAGCAACTTGAAAGGGAATATTTTTTTCTGCCAAATCAATTAAATCTTTGAGACACAGAGATAATAATAATATATAATTTGAACTTTATTATCATAATTTTTAAGCAACAGGAAGTTTTTTTGGGGTACAGCATAAAGAGAAAACAAATTATTGAAATTATCCTAAGAGAACATAAATTTAATTATATTAACAATTATATGTACTTTTTAAAACGGTTTTTAATTGTAAAAAATATATAAAATACTGGGTGTTTTAAGATCCTTATACTAGACTGCAGGCTTTATTTTCCACTTGTTACATTTGCTGACAACACAAACGGAAATGTCATTTTGTTGCTGCTGGTGGTTTCGGTTTAATTTTCTCATTTGGTGATGTTTGCATTTTTCTCCTTTTCCATCTTATTTTTTTTGAGTTTGGGTGATGTGTGTTTTTGCAATTACAATTAATTTTAAAATACTCTGAAAATGTGCAGAACTCTCATGGCAAGTGACAATTAATGTGGTAGAAGAGCAAATGAAAATAGTATGTTTCTGAAGCTTTTACTAATTTAACACTTAAACGAACTGTATAAAGAGTTTATTAGGATTCTGATGATTATACATAGTAGTAGTCTAAGATATCAAAAAGTAATTTTAACAAAAACTGAAAAAATATAGCAAAAATAGACAAATATATTTCTTTAAACTGCTCTTGCATTTGTAATGTAATTTGGCTGTTCACAATTTAGTTTTATTTAGGTATATATGTATGTTCCTAGGTCAATGCGCACTTAAAAGTTATAAATAAAGTTGAAAATTTTAATTGCTCTGCATAAAAACAGAGGGCTTGTACTTTTATTTTATTTTTTTGGTTTTTCTCAACCTGCCAATTATTTATACATTTGCATTGAATTTATATCCTTTTACGATGCATACCAGTTGCCATGAATAAGTGTCAATATATTGTTGATATAATAAGAGCATTTTAATGTTTCCCAATATTTGGTTACTAATCGCACATAAATATTTCAGCCGCCAGCTATACGGATTAATATTAATACGACTGGACAGGTGTGTTAAGTTATTTGGCCTCCATCCGATTGGAGTGATGGTATGTATGTAATTGGCCCGCAAAACAATATAGACGAGATTAGCGCACACCTCTGGTAATTTATTGGCAGTCAAGGACCTCCGAAATGCGCATCTCTCTCATTATGCATGCGATAGAACCAGGACCGGGCGCAAAACCCCATCCGGGCTGCATTTCCATTCATCAGTATTCCGCATTCATTCATTCATTAATCGAACCGAGGGGGAGTGACTGGCATGCAAATTGATTTGATACGTTGTCAATTAAAATGTGCAATTAATTTCGTTTGGTTTGCCTCACATTATCGAATATGTAATTGGATGGGGCGATAGGCCGCACACTCGCAATGGTTTGATAATGGTGACGGTGCATGGGGAGATCGCAGATAGGGAATATAGCCCCTGACAGCGGCTGCTAATGAGCTCAGTTAGCCAATTCAGTTTGTGGCCAGGATTGCGCTTGTGTGCGTGTGCCCATCTCCATCGGTGTGTGTCTAAATTAAACCGTCTATGATATGGCAGAGAGCATGGCGTATACGCAATTAGTTAGTCAAACGCTGATTGCCGCACTTTAGACAATTTTGAGCACGAGAATGGTGCCGCTAGTGCAAAACTTGCATTTCAACAAAGTAACTTATTTTATTATGATTTGTTAAGGTTTTGGAAATTTAATTAAAATAGTAAGTATTAATATTACACTTTGATTGAATCGAAAAAAATGTATAATTTAAAGTTAAACATATTTATAAAAATATTTAATATTATATAATGCAATTCAATATTAAATAAAAAATTTTTAACTAAATAGTAAAATTATTTATTTTTACTTTTTCATTTTTTATCAGTGTAAAACTTTAAATCAGTTTGTATTTGTTTTAAATAAAAGTCAATGCATATATATAAGCATTTGTTACAAATTGTACTTATATTGGTAAAACACTTGAAAGCTTGTTTTATTTGGCTTACCCGAGAACTATTTGTGTGGCTGGCATTATAAAAACCAATATGCCTAGACTTCAATTTAAAATCCTAAGACTCTCGTCATCAGCGATTTGCTCTCGCTGCCATCTCCCCAAATTAGTTCAAGGATTAGTGCAATAAAACTAACGTGCCATGGATTTGCGCAGCCCTTTTGTTGACTTAGGGGAACTGGGACGAAGATCCTGCGGGGAGTGGGAGCGGGAATGTCACAATTTCCCAATTAGCTACTCATTGAGATAAATTTCTTATGCAAATGATGACAAGGCCAAGTGAGGCTGAGGCTTTTCGGGGGGGAGGAAGGAAGGGGTGTGGACAGGCGCTGGAGTGGCATTGGCATCCAAATCCTCCACATCCCTTTGCTGGCTGGGGAGTTTGGGACTTTGAGTGGGGCAACCATGGCGGCGGACAGCGGCAGAGTGACATTGACTGACTCGCGATGACGAAGACGCAGCGGCACATCCTTTGGCTCACTCTTCCTAATTGGCTGCTGACATTTTCCAGCCAACAATAACAACAGAAACAGCGGCGGAAATTACAGAAAAAGAGCAACTGAAATAGCAGGCGAGATAGCAACGTAAAGCTGAGTAAATTTGACATAATTAAAATACTGAGACCAGCGGGGACACGAAATGACAGGTTGCTCAAAAAATTGAAATTGAAAAAAGAAGGTGTAGCGCACATTTTGCTGATTTGATTAACACGAGGTGCTAACTACTTTTGACAACTGTCCCACATTTCGTTAAGAAATTGTAGCAATCCCATGACGAAGTAAGCTTCCCGTTAAGATTGTGGTGCCAGAAGTTCATTGGACTTCACACACAAGTGTGAAATAATTTCGGAGTCAGTGACTTGAAACGAGAGCTGCTAAGATACAGTTCATGATTCAGAATAGAATTTTCTTGAAGATCACGATTTCTCTTAGAACTTTTTTGTAGACCAACATGTATTTTATGAAATTAATTTTTTAAATGTGGTCCATTAATAAACATATTTTTTTCCAATAGATAAACCTTATAATTCCCGCTTAAAACCAAGGACTTGAAATACTTCAAGGAACTTTTTCAAATGTCATCTGTCCTTTTGCATTTCTAAAATTTAATTATAAGTTGAATTTGCTTGAGGCTCCATCTCGCATACAAATGCAAACTTGTTTTGTTTGGTATCTGGGTGCGATAAAATTCACTTGAGAGCATCGCCTAGAACTTTGTTTGGGGACCAGAAGGAACCGAAAGGACGTGGCGCAAACAAATGCAAATTGCTCATACGCCGTGTGGACGAGTAGCCAAACGGGGACGACACGGAGAGCAGAAACGGCGCTTATTAAAGTTTGACTCGTACTTTTGCATATTTTTCATTATCATTATTTTTCGGCGGTTTTGAGTGTGGGTGTGTCGGTGCAAAGTAAAAGTTTCGGATAACAAAAATTAAGCATTGCCTTTTGCATTCCATGATAATTGCGAACAATAGACACAAACAGAAGGCTGAATCGGGGGACGGGTATGACCATGTTAATGCTTCCGCATTTGCGTTCAGCTGCAACATTGCGCCACCGTTCGTGTAAGTGAATGTGCGTCGAGACACTGGGAAAAAAAAAATTTGGCACTTTGGGTAATTAATCCAGAGATTAAGAAGCTTCTTATTGATCGATAAAACCGTAAATTTAAGCGTATTTGAAGTGCAAAAGTGAACTACAAGTTCTTACTTACCAACTAAGAATTATTTAAAGTTTATGAAACTTCAATTTACGATAAAATAAAATTTATAGAGTATTTAAGATAAGGGTTAGATAAATTAATGTTCAATAAATGTAAAGAGGTTATACGTTTTCTTCGCCTTCTTCTATAGTTAAATTATTTATTTTAATTTAATAATATTATTCATTTTTTTGCCATGCATGGCCGCATAAGTGTATGTCCTGTACACATGCAGAAGTTTGTGTGCCAGCGACATTCACGCCTCGCTGCTCTTTTTACATGCTGCATGTTGCCTGCGGGCATTAAGTGTGATTTTATGCGATTTGTACCAGGCAAACACCCGTTCAATGCCGCCCCCATTGCAACCCACATCCTGCTACCCCGCTCCCTTTGCCCCTCAGTCTACGCTACTGGTAAAAGAAAAAACCGCAGGAGCAGCAGGAGAGGCAATGCTAAAACCTTTCCCCCGCACTTCTTTTGCTAATTTACATTTGACAAATGTTTTGCATGCTACAAAATTTTTGCCACTGCTGCGACGACTACCACGACGACTGCTGTTCGTTAGTACTAGGGCCCCCTGTACCTTGCCCCTTTGCTGTTTTGCTAGCTGCATTTGTTTTCATTTGGATTCTCTGCTGACATTGTTTACAGTTCAACTTGGGTGGAAATTAGTAAAAATCTCACACGAGCACCCGCTACAAAAAAAAACGAAGATATAAAAATACCAGCAGCAGGAATCGAAAAGGAAGAAAGCACACGGAAAATTTCCAAAAACTAATTTAAATTTATGTTGCTTTACGATTGTTGGAGTAAAGGGCTTAAGCGATTAAATAAAGCGCACCCGACTGTTTGTATAAATTTAAATACAATCGGTTTGTTCTCAAACCATTGTAACTGGCTAAGAATTCTAAATATCCTTTAGCTTAGTTGTTACTTGTATATATATTCTATACATGTGGGTAATTTTTTTTATTTATTTAGATAGATATCTTTGCCATTTGAATAAGTCGCTTCCAAAACTTCTTGCTGCAGTCACTGTAGGTTTTCCAACAATTGGCACCGGCTTTTCCCGCATCCCTGGCATGTAAATACTTCTCAGGCACGTTGTCTAATGATGGACTGTTAAAAAATATACATATTCATTTTAAAAATATATATATCGAAGAAATATTAAGTACCAAAAGTATGGCTATGGAAATAAAGCGTTCAGGATACAATATAATTTCATACTTACACCAGTACCGCATTGAGTAGCTCACTGAAAATGTTGCTGTGCATTAAGGGGCGTTGGGATATCTCACAGATACTTCTGAGCAGACAGGCACCGGCATTCCGATCTCCTAGCCTGAAATGAGAATACCTAACGAAAAGCCGTTGACAAATATGCCAGATACTGACCGCTCCAAGCCCGTTTCCACGACATCATACAACCAAATTCGTGTCTTGTCCTGGAAAACCCTGCTCTGAATGTTTTGCCTCCATTCCCTGGCCGTGGTCACAAATGTCGAGGTGTTCCAGAAACTCCACCAGTAAATTGGGATAGGCGATGGCACGTATTGCGCTTGGTAGTTGATAAATCCCACAACCGACCTCACAGTATCCTCCTGTTTGACGGGAAACGCTAACCCGATGACAATCTGGGGGAGAACAATTAGGAGTCGGAATGCCAAAGTTGGATCGATGATCCAACCTTGTTTGTGCCCTGACCGTTGAAAATGGCAAAACGCTTCGAACGACTCAGGCTCAAGCCGGAGGTATCATTTCCATCTCCAGCAACACTCCCAACAAGGACGAATAGGAGCAGGACTGCGCAAGGATTCAGGTGCAACTGTTTGCCGCTGGAGAGCATGGTCAACTAAATTTGCAGCCGGTGCAACTTGCGGCAGCAATGGGAAATTCAGTTCGTAGTTTGCCCAAGAAATTGACAGTCAACCAGTTAACCAAAGTTAACAGAAAACTACCACATTACACTGAGGAAAAATGCTTGCAACAAATACTGACATGCATTTAAATCAAATCTAAATTAAATTAAATTTAAATGAGTCTTAAATATTCTTGACACAATAAACTAATGAGCAAACCACAATCATTTTAACAAATACCTAATATTTATGTTATATATACACATTTCCCTTTTTATGCAGTGCAACAAAACCACAAAACCACATTTCAAATTCTCAGTAACACTCACATGGCTCCGAACACAAAGGCCTCCTCAACTCGTGCCACCAAGGGATGCCGTGGCCAGAATTCAATCGCCGTTGGCGGAGACTTAGCATCGGATATACAACCTTATCACCAGCATTGTGAATCCTCTGTTGCCAACTGGTTTTGATGGAAGCCCAACAGCTTTTTGACTCCCTTTTGCTTGTCACTCCCAGCATCAGATCCATTTTTCCAATGGCGTTTCTGGCGGCACCTTTGTTCTGTCCACCAGCAGCAAATTGATTGGTGTCACCAATTGAAGTTCTCGCCATCAAAACAAAGGGATTTAAAGCCATCCGACTAAAATATTAAATTTACTAAGAATATCGAGCTTAAATATGTAGATAAACTAATAAAATAAAAAAAATAAACACATATACTTAACATTTTAATTGCTTTAAAAAAGCTTAAATTAAATTTTAAAAAAATCAGCAACAGTTAATTTTAAAATTAAAAAGCACTCAATCAATCGCAAAAATACGAAATTCGCTTAATCCATCTGAAAGCCGTAGTGATTAAACATTTTAAATATTAACCACTCCTAAATGAGCTTCTGATTTTTCCCTGATTTATCGTGTTAAAGATTATTTATTGCGGTTGCTAACAGGCAACCTTTCGGCAGTGCCGACACGAATCTGCCACCAATCACTACCCAAATAGAGTAATTAAACAATCTGTTGTTGGGCACTTTGACAATGCCTGGGATATTAAAAGGATGGGTAGGTAAAAAGTGACGAATTAGCCATTTAAATGCAGGCAATTTGGTTATGGCATACAAATAGCTCGATGCAAGGCATCGAACTATTTAGCACCTTTAAACGAGCACTTCAAATGACAACGAATCGAGTTAACGACACTCAATTGGGTGCTAATTGTACAATTAAACTTGCCGGACCGAACTGGGCCGAAATCGATGGCCGGAATGCCCGGCATCAGTTCGGTTTGGACAGCTAATGGCTAATGGCAGCAACATATCGTAAAATAAAAAGTAGAGATCCGGCCAAATCGGTACCAATCGAGAACCCAATTCGCCCCTAATGGTAATTATCTGCTTCATAAATTCGCGTTCAATTCCGTCCGGAGTATTGGCATTCCCACAGTGCCAGTGTTTTAATTGTATAGTCCGATTGGGCCCATCTCTCGCGCTTCGAATGTTGTCGAAAATTGCATTAATTTAACGCATGATTGGCAGTGCCGGCAAATGGAAGCGTCACAGCTAAAGTGAAATTATGCAAATTTCATCACTGTTTTTTTCGATGTGAGTGCCCGGGTACGGAGCAATCGGAATGTTCGATTGATCAATTACACTAAAGAACAAAAAGGTGTACTTCCGCGCAGAGTCACAGAAAAAAATAAAATGCATTTGGTGATTAATTCCAAAAGTGAATGATACCCTCGGAAAATAGTTTAAAAAAATCGCTTTAATTTAATAACACTATATGCGAAAACACAGAACTTTTTATTAATAGCCAATTCAACTCTCATTATTAGTTATTTATGTAAAAATGTAACAAGCCTACAACATTATAACATAGTATCACATGTAATAATGTAATTTTGGATATACCAATATTTTTATTCAAATTTTTAAAGCAAAAATTTAGAATATATTTTATATAATAGCCTATAGTCTATATAATCTATGCTGGCCCTCAAACGTTATATTTTAAATACCTAAAATAGGACTTAGGCTGACAAGTGTTGACCAAGTGACTTTTGCTGGTTTCCATTAAGGAAAAATGGGAAGAACAATCAAAGTAATTGGATGTGCTGGAGCTGGCACTCTACTTCTTTTGCTGCTGCCTCTTTGGCTGATCGAAAATAACACTCCGTCAAATGGTAATGGTCACCCCAATGGCTCCGACCCACTGGTCAGTGCTGCTCCCGCTCCTCCTCCTCCGCCCCTTGAAGCTGGAAGGGATGCGATGCTGCGACTGCACCGCCAGAAGCGCTACCTGCTCTTCCCGGAGGGCTCCTCCTTCCAGCTGGTGTTCGACATCATCATACCCATCATAGACTACACCAACTACGCCATCCTGGGCATCACCTGCTCCGTGGCCTGGGAGCTGCCCAGTAAGCCGCCCAGCGAGCTGATTGAAAACGTGCTCACCCGCATCAACGACGGCACCATCGGTACTGTCCGGCGGAATGGCAGCGCCCCCAATCCGGAACCGAATCCCCAGTCGGCCCCCTCCCTGCCCCCCAAGGAAACGGACCATCGAGCCACTGCTAATTGGCAGGCGGTGCACGCACCGTCAGCGAATCCACCGGCATATGCAACCAATGAGCACGACTCCCACTCGTACTACACGAATATCCAGCGCAACCAGGCCGCTTACCCATATGGAACGGTAAATGCAAATGCGAATGCGGATGCAAATGTAAATGGACAGCAGTGGCAGGCGCCGATGACTGCTAATTGGGATGCGCGGCAGTCGCTCGCAAAGTGGCAGGCAAAGGGGGCGGGAGCGGGAGTGGGAACGGACAACTGGTGGACGCGAAACGGACAGCGTGTGCAACAAAACTGGCGCCAAAAGCAACGCATGTGGGGCCCTTCAAAATGGGAGTAAGTGCATTTAAGATATTTCAGATAAATTTAAGCATTTTTTCCTTATTTAAGTATTTTTTAAATTATTACACAAAGAATTGAAACAATTTTAAATTTTAAAGAAAAATATCAAAGTAATAAAATAGACTTTCCTGTTAAATATATATTAATGCATTTCAAAATGTCGAATGAATGCCAAAATATGAAAATAGCTTGAACAATATTCTTTGTTTATTGATTCTTAAAACAAACATAAAGACTCATTTTTAAGACAACAGGAATACATTTTAAGCATACATTATAAACATTACAGCCTAATAAATTTTAAAGTTGAAAACTATTTTAACGTATATTTACATAAGTTATAGCTAAGTTCAATATTAAACTATTCGACAGCTATAGCTACACCCAGAGACCGCGTCAAGTGCTGAAGTCACCACCCAAACATCATATATATCCTGTTTTTGCGAAGCGCAGGAGGCGACGAAGTCTTGAGCAGGATCCCCATTTCGAGCGGCTTCACCTGCAGCAGCATCTCAGCTCACGGCAGCTGCTCTTTGGAAAAATCGAACGTCTTTACAAGTCGTAAGTTCTTGTTCTCGAACATAAATCGTGCTCCTCAGTGGCATAGTAAATCTTGAACCTCCAGGCGACGACTAAATGGCACCTCCTGTGTGCTCCGAGCTCTCTGCGAATCGGCCCAAAGGCATCAACGGATTCGAGGCACAGATATGGGCAGACCACAAAGCTTCATAATGGAACTGCTCTCGGCCATCTTCCAACTGCCCAGCAGCGATGACGTGGATGACCCTTTGGAATTGGAGTTAATGATTTCCCCTCATTATCTGGCGGCCCATCGGCAACAGGGCAACTGTCGGCAACTCTACGGTGATTGCAATCTCACATTTTGGTTGGATTAAACATCAATGGCAATAAAAATCTTGAAATTACCGTCTTTTGGTTTTTATTATAATTCTAAGGTTTTTTGTATATAATACTGAAATTCATAAATTGGTATTTAATAAGCAATAAGCATAATTGGTAAATAAGGAATTTTTGATTTGCTTAAGATAGAAATTTAACTATCAAAGCAATGCATAAATTCTAAGAATATTGAGCATTTCTTTTAAATTACAAACAAATTATAATTTTTTATTTACATTAAAATAAAAACAGATGTTTCGATTGCACGTCGACGGCGACGTTTTGCCAAGGTATAGAAGATCTTATATTAGAAAATATAAGCAATCAAAAGACATTGACAATTGACCTAACAGATATGCTACAAAAAAAGTGTACGAAAGACATTTGGAAGTTTCTTTAGTTGCAGCTAAAAGCATTCGTCGAGTTGTACGCGAGAGTTCAAGATTATCCCCGGAAAAACAGAGACTAGTGATCACATTACTTCAACTTCAACTCCCCAGCACTATCGGATGAAGATAGAAGTGTGCTACTTTTCAAATAGAACGAATAAACCAAAAGAAGGGAGAACAAGTTGGTAGCGTGAAAAAGTAATTTGAACCTTTAAATAGACCAATGAGCTCACAGACCAAAGGCAAAGGCAAAGGCAAAAGAAGCTATGCTGCAAGACAAACTACTTGCCAAAACACAGAAGACGAAAAGTGTGAAAACTAATGAAAGACAAAAGGAGAGCAAAGAAATTTAACGAACGGAGCTCAAACTCAAACTGGAAACTTTCTGGCTGTCAGCCGAAGGGAAAGCGGAGGGCACAGCTTACAATTAACGGCCAAGTTGCAGAACGCTTCTGTTTCTGTTTGGGCCAGCATCGCGATACTTGGCTGACAGTTGCCGTATGGACAACGCTTCGACCGCAAGTTGGGAGAATGTCGTGTCGGAAAAAGAGGACCGCTGAGGAGGGAAATTCCCCAGTAGGTAATTGCTGGCTGGCTGCATTGGCGCTTCTTCTCCTGGCCAACTTGTCCAACTTGGCCGACGCACTGAAGGACGGGGAATCCATCCAGCTGCCACCGGGCAACCCATCACTGAACATAAAAAATGTGGACAGCAGCCTGGAGCAGCTCATCGAAATGCGGCTGAATGAGTCAGAGTCCTCATCCGTCCAGGACAGACACTCGCATTCGCAATCGCAGGCACTGTTGTCCCGGAAACGACGCTATTTGGTATTTCCGGAGGGCAGCTCCTTTCAGATGGGTAAGTCTCTTAGTCGCAACACAGCGGCAAAATGGAAATCTATTTCAAGGGGGCTTTATTTAAATATCTTGGCGCAAACAAAAAATTTAATTTTATGGTAGTATACACCCAACAAAAAATTTTCATAAAAACTAATCTATTGTTACATGAATTTTAAACTATAGGGTATGAAAAATTCGTCAATAAGATGAGTTCTTAATTAATACCACGAAAGTACCAAAATACAACTTAAGTGGTTAAAAATAACGCAATAGACTACAGTATTAGACTCTTCTGTATATAAATAAAACAAAGTGGTATAACTTAAGTGCCTCGAGGCTTAGTTCTCTAAAAAACTGCGTTTAAAACTATGTTTGTAATTTCTGGTCGATTTTTTGCAATTCTTATTCTTTTTATTCTTAATTTCCAAAAAAATCGAGTTTGCAGAAAAATGACCGAAACCCTGCAACTCTAAGTCCATAACTTTTCATTACGGCATCCGATTTTCAGGCGGTATACCTTTAAAGTCTTGTGGTTTAAGCCTCTAAAAATCTGCGCTTACAATTTGTTTTAATATTGTGAGTTTTGTTTTAATTAATTTTTAATTTCTTATTAAATTTAAAAACTAAATAAGATCATAAAATTAAATGATATAATTAATTGGTTATCATATTAAAGGCAAGCAAATATCCATTCACTTCATACATTATATAAAAAGTCCTTCATGAACGAAATCTTTTAGGTTAAAAAAGACAATTTTGCAAACATATCCCTTTAAAATACCTCGACACCACGCCACTGACCTTATCCATGCAAATCACATGCCTCAATTACCTTATCTCCATCCGTTCAGTGTACGATGAAATTGTGGGAGTGGTGGACCACACGAACTACTTGATTCTGGGCATCACGGTGGCTTTGGCCTGGGAGCTGCCGAGTAAGCCGCCCAGCGAGGAGCTGGACGATCTGCTGACCAAGTTGGAGGACGGAACCTTAGATATCAGTCGCAACGACACCGTGTCGAACATAACCTATGTGGATGACGCCTCTGCGACGACGACGACGAGCAAGCCTCCGGACTACAAGCCCAACTACATTAACTTGTCGAGCTACCAGGGCTACCAGGGTGGCAGCAACTCCTACTACAGCTCGTCGCCCGTCTTCCGGACACCGATGCATCCGTCTCATCAATATGCGGACAGATATTACTCCCGTCCGAAGGGGGGCAGGCGCAAGGACAACCACTACTACTACAGCCGCCCGGGGGTCTCTTCCAGCAATCCGTTTTCCAAGTGGGCCAAGCCCTACACTCCCGCCCAGAACTCACGCTATCCCTACTGGGCCCTCAACTCAAGGTAAGAGTATCCTTAAAATATCTTTGGAAGCCAACAAGTATCTGGGCAAGCAAGTAGAGGAATTGTTTGAGTTATTTAGTTAGGAAAATCTTTTTCAATTTTAAATTATATTAAATTAACTCATTTAAACTTATATAATTAATATTATATATGTACTATGCATATTACATTTCATAATTGGATATTAAAATATTGTAATAAATCTGAAAAATATTACATTTAGAAGAGAATCCTATTCTTTTTTAAATAATTATATTTAAGTTTAATAAGGATAATAATTTCGCTTAATTTTCAGATATTAAAATCAAGTTGGTAAATACTGCAAAATAAATGCACAAAAACATTTTTATGAAATATATTTCTAATGGAACTGATTTTGTTACCCCAGATCTTTAAATTTGTTAAATTGTGTAGACATTTGAACCACATATTTAATAATTAATTATTTATGTTATTATTCTCAACATCATATACAGAATGAAGGATCGCTACTACGGGTACAAGAGCCAGCAGGCGGCACCACCGGTGGCGCAGCGAAGACAGGACAGCAGCACCACCACAACCACCACTAGTCGACCCACTCGGAAGCCAGCTCCCCGTCACCATCACATATATCCGGTGTTTGGTAAGCGCAGCATTCCGGATGCAACCAATCCGCTTAAACGTCAGCGGCGCAGTGGAGTGGCCACCGAGCACGAGGACAAAATCAGTCGCCTGGAGCAGCTCCAGATCAGACACCACCGCAGAAGCCGTCAGTCCTTGTACGAACGAGTCGAAAAGTATCTGGACAAGTAAGTAGAGGGAGGCAGTTGTCCTTAGGCTAATTGGATTCCCTTCGGTATTGAAGAGGGAATTCCCTGTTCACCTATAACGAACTTTTTTCGTTAATTTAATTAGTTTGCTGAGATATGTATAAACAGCTCTTAAATATTTTTAAAAAATTGATAATTATTAATATACACTTTATTTACTGGTCCTTCATTTTTCTAAGCCAAAGTGACAAAATAATTCCCTGAAATTTCAAACTCCTTTGTGTTATTAAGTCAATCCTCCGAGTAACAATTGAAGATTATCTCATTAGTGATTTCTATTATAGTTGCACTTAGCTCTCTAATTAGCGCATCAATCGATTTACTGTTTCCACAGACGAGGTCACCATGGCCACCACTGCGTTCTGCGTACCCTCTGCGAAACGGGTCAGAAATCGCAAGAGGAGGAGCCCGGCACCTTCGTGGGCGAATTGATGCGTGCGGTGTTCACCCTTCCGGAAGCCATGGACAACGAACCGGTTGCCTATCGCGACACCCACTACGACAAGGCGCACGCCGCCCAGCAGGACTGCGCCACCCTCTACCCAGAGTGCAAGCAGTCCATGTGGCAGGCCCAGTTCATTCAATAAACACCCATTCCCCAAGTCTGTTCGAAGTTTGTTTTATTCAGTCCCACTTGCCGCCCATTAGCCAGGCCAAAATATTTAGTTTACACGAGTCCCGAAACTGACGGTCGCAATCGTCCGCATCCATGTGCATGATCCGGGAATATTCATCCTCCACGCCGGATGCGGTGGGTAAACTAACAGGATTTAGGGTGAAATGTTTGATTTAAATGTGTAAGGTTCTCAAATAAATGTTCAAACTTAATTGGAACATGTATGATACATGTTTACATAATTTCACTAATTTAATACTATAATTTTGATTACAAATAATTATAATACTTACGTGAAGATCAGTCGCACAATATCCTGAATCATCGAATATCCACGAGGCAAAAGTAGGCGCTTACTATCACAAATAGCTCTCAGAACACAAGCTTTAGCATCGATTCCCAGTCTGCAAAAAAAAAGGGTAGTATTAAAACCAAGAACCCAATATTAGACTCATCCTTACAGCTTACTGAACCCATCGAAGTGCTCGAACAACTGCCTTCGATCCCGATGTCCATTGTAATGGCGCCAGTCCTTGATATGCGCCAGATCTGGATAGTGAGCTGTTTCGTGGGGTGCCATGTCGGGATCGTAAGGGTCGTCCAATGGCTGCGATCTCACATCCTCGTACGGTTCCACCTCGGGATCATAGTACTCCCCATCCGCCGATCTGTACCAACGTTTTGACCACTTGGGCGACTGCGTGGTCCACTTGCTCCATCTTTCAGGTTGGCTGTACTTTTCGTAGTTGTGATTCGCTGGCGGCCAGTTTTCGTATCGATTTCCGTATTTCGACCACTGTGCCCACTTGGCAGGATTTACATATGATGGCTTTGGGGGTCTCACATCAATGCGTTGATTTGGGTACTTAGGCTTGGGTTTCTTTAGTGGCGTGGCCTTAAACCTCCAGTTCGTTCCCGGTATCCAAACGTATGTGGGTTCCGTGGTAGTCTTTGGTTTCTCCGTGGTGGTAGTTCTCTGACGATATCGTTTTGGGTAGACATCCTCGCGTTTCGTGGGCACAGGATAATAGCAGGCCTGCTCGATGTTCATGGAAATTCCCTTGGGATAAGCCGAAATTAGGCCTTTGCTCAGCTGGCCGGTAAACTTCAAATTTGAGCCAGGTGGAAATAATACAAAGCGCTTTCGACGCGAAAAAACCCGGTCCAATACATGATTTAGCTCTGTGTGATTTGAATCCACTTTAGCTAAAATCAAGTGTATAAATCCGAAGCTAAGGAGGATCAACAGATAGACACGCATTGCTGAGGAGTACTGATTGAGATATCTAAATTGATGCCAGCTAGTACCGGTTGGACTTCAATTTATTGTTCAATTGAATTGTTTGCCATTGATGTTGAGTTGGCTAAGGGTGATAATTGCACTGACAACAATTGATAAACTTATTTTCTTGGCTAGAATTCGTGACTGTATTTTACAGTTGTGTACTTATATAAAGCAAGAATAAAGCAAGAATCACAAACAGGCATTATATTTACAATTATCTTTACAATATAACCTTAAGTAAAGCTGGACTTTACTTAAAATACTTGAAATATGTTTATATTTCCTTAGCCACGACTTCTCAAAAAACAATTTTAATTTATTGAAAACTATATTTTATCAACTCTGCCGCTCAGTAACCAAATCAACAAATTCATATTGCACTTTGTCTTTAGCTCGGCTGCACAATCATCGGCATCTTTGTCCATGATCCGACTGTATTCATCTTCCAAGCCATCCAGTCGAGGCATACTAAGAAGTATGTTTATTTCGTAATAAATCTGTTTTTTTAAGCTTCTTAAAACTCACGTGAAGACTACACGCAGCATGTCTTGCAGCATGGAATAGCCAGGTGGAAGGAGCAATCTTTTGCTATCGCAGATGGTGCGTAAAATGCAAGACTTTACATCTATGCCAATCCTATACGAAGTGAAAAGTCATGAGATAAATTTATCAATAGCAAATTCAATAGTTACCCACAGAGAACTAAGTTTGTGAAAGCGATCAAACAAAGACCTTCTATCACGATGACCATGGTAATGGTGGGACTCCCAAGCTCCACTGTACTTTGGCTGATTCCATTTGGCCTCCCACTTCGGTGCAGGTGTGGTCCATTTCGTCCACTTTGCCCTGTTATCATCTGCACCTTTCCACTTGTAATTCTGCCATTTTTGATCCTGATTCCATTGATGCCACTTAAATGGATTGGCATAGCTATTGTCATCGATGCGATTTGTCTTTGCAGGTGGTTGTCTTTGCCTCCATTTGGGTTTGGGTAAAGTTTGAGCCTTGAAACGCCAATCGGTGCCGGGTATATAAACAATAGTATCGGGCAGTTTCTCGGGTTTCTTTGTAGCGGACTTGGGCAAGAATCTCTTGGGGTAGATATCCTCAACGGCTCCAGGCAAATCAAAATATACAGCTTCCTCCAAAACAAAGTTTATACCTTTCGGATAAGTCGCCAGCAAGCCGGTAGCAAAGGAGCAAGTGAACTTGACAAACGATCCTGGTGGAAACAAGACGGCTCTTCGTCTCCGGCTAAAAACTCTAGACACTGCAGTTCTAAGTTGAGATTTCTTTGGTTTCCCAAGATATTCTCCCAAACTTGGCCAAAATGCGGTAAACAGCACCAGCCAGATAAAGAGCTTACCTCGTAGCATCTTAACAAACTGAAAAGTGGAAATTATCCAAGCTGTTCAGAGGGGCCAGCCATTCTGGCAGCGTCAACCAATTGCTTAAATATTTACCCACAACTGATTGATGTCTTGATATATTTACGATACCCGTGTGCCCATTAACCCACCGACCCAATTTGTCCAGTAATTTTGGGAGTTGTCTGTTTGTAGATCGATCAGTTGCGTTTTTTACCTCAATGTGAAAAGTTCTCAAAATGAAATTGAGTTGGCTAACAACGGGTATTCTTATTCTCATCCTAGCTAATAAATCCGCATCCCTGCTTTGGCCAGCTTCTTCCAATTTGGGTGTAAGTTAGGTAAAATAATCATTGGCTTTGAATACTAAATTTATCCCCTTTAGTTAACCCTTTCGGTGTCCACACCCATTGCTGAACTATTTCCTGAGCGTCGTATCCTGGTCGATTGGTGCTTTGCCATCTCCTACAACTATCCCTACAATCTCACTGAGTTCTATAGCATACCCATCTGGCCGGGATTTGCCAACTATAAGGCGAAACGCGAAGTTCCCCAATTGGAACTGACGGATGAGAGCTTTTATACCAAATACGGACATGATAAGGGGAATGGTATGCACCCCAAGGATTTTTCAGCTGCAGAGCTTTATGCCTTCCTTGAGGATACGTTGGCGGGATACGGCTTCCATGAGACCTGTTTGCTGAGAAGTGTCTGTGAGTTGGCACAACATCCCTTCGATGAAAACCACAAGCATATGCTCAGCGATATTGTGACCTTTGTTCTGAGGTAAATATAATAGGATATTTTGATAGTTTCATCAGAGTTTCATCTTCATTTTGCAGCCCCTCTCAACACGAAGGTTTTCGTGACGACGAACACGTTTACAGGAAGGCCTACGAACTGGCCGAGCAAGATGGTTTTCTGGGCCGGGACTGCCTTAAATTGTACTCCCATTGCAAACACGATCTCCTACAACTCATGAGCCAAGTCGTATTTCACTAGAACTAATAAAACCTGTGGAATTGGGCCTACTTGTAAATTTCAATGTCTGTGCGTTTCATTAGCAGCAGCTGTTTCTGTTTGGAGCCTCTAATTAACGCAGTGCGTTGGGTGGTCAAGAAATCGAACTGAGATACTTTCTGGCGAGTGTCATACCAGAATGTATCTCGCAGGCGTCCACTTCATCGCCGCTCTGCTGTCACTGTGGAGCGTTCCCATTACGGCGGAGTTTCCTTTGCTCTTTCCGGCCTCCTCCGTTTACCAGATCACCTCATCACTGTCGGTTCCTGTGGTGATTCCTGATCGAAAACTATTTTGGGATTGGGGCCTTCAGATGAACTATGCCCTGCCCGCTCAGCCGTCGTCCTTCTACGCCGCCACCATTTGGCCGGATGAGTTTTCGAGGAGGGGAAGGCGCCAGTTGCGGAACGAGACCGCCAAATATCTGCCCGGAGGTGGGTCCACTATGCATCCGAGTGACATTTCGGCCGGAGAGCTGTACGAGAGTCTCGAAAACATGCTCACCCAATATGGCTTTGATGAGTCCTGTCTTCTGCGGAGTGTTTGTGAGCTGGCCAGGCATCCCTTCATAGATACAGAAAACAATATGCTCACTGCCCTCATGACTTTTACACTGACGTAAGTACAGTTTTATAATCGCACTTATCACCTCAGTAAGAAAACAAATTAAAAAGTTTAAATTCAACTTTATGGGCAATTAAAAGGATACATTTATTTTATTTTAATTTTGAAGTTAATTTTCCATTTAAAATATAGTACAAAATATGGCTTCTTCTTGCCGTTACAGACTACACAATTATAAACAATTAAAGGAAAGCAAAGTAAATTAAAATAATTTCTTTTACAGACCCTCTTTGCATGAAGCCTTTGGGCCCGGTGAAAATATCTACCGGGAGGTATACGAACAGGCCGAGCAACAGGGATTTCTAGGAAAGGACTGTGCCAAGCTGTATGCTAACTGCCCTGTGGACTTTTTAAGCGGAATCAGCAGCCTGTTGAGCTAGCAGATTTATCAAACATTTCGAGAAGGTAGCTAAGGACCCCCGACAACTGAATGTTTTAAAATGCAATGACGATTATGCCATTGATATGACTTTCATCTTGCCCAATTAAATGTTACCAAATGCTAGGCCATTGTCGTGTTTATTTCATCTGACCAGTCGGGTGGCTAAGTTTATGATATCTACTTCACAACTGGGATACGAGCGATGGCATTGTCCGCCAAGAAAGCCAATCTGCTCCGCTCTTTCGTATCTTTCACGATAGAGCTGCTCGTCTTCGGTGAATCCTTCGTGTTGAGAGGGTCTGCAATTAAAAAAAAGACCAGAAACTTTAGTAAAATTTATTCGAAAAAATCTTATATTTAGGGTATAAATACTAACTTAAATTGTATAAATTTTATTTTGCCGATTATCGAAAATAAAAATAATTCTCGGTGTCTATATTAGTGATTTTTAAAAATGAATATTTCAATAGTAATGTTTTTGGATATCTTTGACACAGCTAAGTGTCAATTTTATCTATTGCGTACTCTTAAGATTTAAGCCATATAATGCATTCTTAATCAAAGCTCTTCCATCATGACTGTTATGATTCGAATCAGATGTTTTTCAGTATACAAAAAGAAAGTGTTATTTTTTTAGGGAACTAATAAATGTTAATTATTCAATTGCCAATGGTAATCAAACTCACGTGAGCAGAAAGGTGATGATCTGGGTGACCATCCCATAGAAATGATCCTCTGCAAAGGGATGCAGGGCCAGTTCACAAACACTGCGCTGGAGACAGGATCTGTGAAAGCCGTAGGTCTCCAGCATGTGCTCCAGACCCGCGTACAGTTGTCCGGCCGTGAAGTCGCCCGGATGCACCCCACCCTCCAGATCCTGCTGCTGATCGCTTTCAAGGCTTTTTCCGGTCTTTCGCTTTTGCCGCCGGGACAGCTCATCCGCCCAAATGGTGGCATTGTAGAAGGCGGACACCGTGGCTGGCAGGTTGTAGTTCATCTGGAAGCCCATGTCCATAAAGACTTTGGTGCGGGGGTTCAGGTCGACGGGTATGGAGATCGATGAGGTCAGCTGGAGCACCGTCGAGGCAGGATACAGAAGGAGTCCGTGAATGGGACTAGTCAGGGTGATCAGCAGCAGGCTGACCTGACTGAGCTTTCCAACGTTCTGCTGCTTTGGGCGAAACATGGCGATGTGATCCACTTGGCAATCACACATTGAGCCACCCGAAATCGAGTTCTCGCCATTGTCTATTTGGGGTTTAATTAAGGCGAACCGTAAATGAGCGGATCAACGACCAGAGCCAGATGCGTGAACAGCAATTAGAACGGTCCACAAAACACCATTGAAAGTGGAGCGCATGCTCCATCATCAAGATTCTTATGACTGCGTGTTCTGGCCAATAAAGAGGCATCTGCGCCTTACTCCATTTTTTTCCGCAAGAACAATATCACGCAATATACTTGTCACAACAAATTAAAATAATAATATTTATGTAAATTTAAACACAAAATGGACAAAAATCAAATTTGTTAATATTTGGTCCTAAAATTTATCAAATTAAGAAAAGCTTTTAAATCTTTTATGTATTACGCCTTAAATAATAATTCAATTTAATAATTATTTTATGAGTATTATTCACAAAATAATTATTACTGTTTTAAGCTTAACAAACAGTCTCACCCAAAAAATAAAAATAAAATTAAATTGTGATTTTTATTATATCTCTTATAATGATTACGATCCCTGGTTTTACCTTGTTGTTTTAGAAACAAAAATAGGTTTATTTTTTTTCGAAATGCATAAGAATAATTGAACGCAAATATTTTCTGTGTACCTTTTCCCAATGAAGAGCTGTCAATTTGATAGACAAACAAATATTGCGTTCACTGTGGATCGTGGCGTAGATCGGAGTTTAAACAAAGCCCGATTAGTTAGCATTGCACTCCAATACAAACAAGATGGTCCACAGAATTCTGACCTGGCTTTTGCTGCTCCTAGCTTCGCTATCCACTATCGTTCTGGTGGCGAGCCACACCAAGAATATTTACAGTCCAGATGGAAATCACTTGGATTTTAGCAGAAGTTTCCAAAGTCCTGATGGAAGTAGTAATAGCAGTCTTACTCCTTTAAGTCGGTCGAAGCGATTGGCCATCTACAATGGCCAAGGCATTGTCAAGGTGGGATATATATCTAAATCCCAGAATCTCTGACGACTTTAGACTTCTCAATCATTTGCAGTTGGTTCCCAGCTTGGCGTATCCGGTGAAACAGACTGACAAGGAGCAGTCCTTCTGGTGGTTCTTCAACTTGCAGGGCCAGTGGATACCCACCACCATTCCCATCTACTGGTGGAGCTTCTGGAACACCTCTACTTTTGTGTCCACCGCTCGGGAATGGCGCAAGGACATGCAGATGAAGCTGACACACGACGAGGCCCGTACCTGGGTCTACAATGCCATCGAAGTGGGCATGGAACTGTGAGTATGACTGCGCCATAAAATTATCAAGTTTAAAGCCTATAATTTCCCTACAGATTGGATGGCGCTTACGGTGGAGTCTGCCTGCTGAGGAGCATCTGCGAAATCTCCCAGAAACCCTTCCAGAACAGCAACATCTTCAGCGAGATCGTAAACGCAGTGCTAGTGTAAGAACAGTCTTTATTCGGTTGGGGAAACAAATAAAATTGGAAATTATTCTCAGACCGAGCGTGGACAATGTGGCCGGCAAGTATTTGCACGCCCGAGATGCCGGACGTGCTGGAGCGGACTGCGAGCGGACCTACAGCGACTGCAGTCCGCTGCTCTGGACCCTCATCACGAACATGGCCAGGAATCCGTTTTGATGGTCACATATCGTTTGGTATCCTCCAGGCACTCAGGGAAGAATATATTTTGATGTCATCTTACAAATAAAAATTTTAAATGCTCCAGAATGTCAAACCGCTTGATGGTGTTTAGTTTCCGCCCTTGTTGCTGGCCCGTCGACGGAACTCGGCCCAAAGCTCGCAGAGCATGGGTTTCACCAGGCAGGTGCACTCCTTCAGGGGCAGGGCGCCGGGTCGCAGGCGCTGGCACTCGGAGAAGGAGGGGTACGGGGTCCGGGGCTTCACACAGAGCAGGGGTCCACGTTCCCGCCTGCAAGACGGAGGTCTGCGACCATCGCGGTGGCAGCGACGCGCCAGCTTGGGACATTCCAGCTCCCTCTGGTCCGGACAAGGTTGCGGACAGGCGGTCGAGGGCTTGTACTGGGGCTTGCGGCGCTTGATCGGCGCCGGCTTGGCCTGGGCAAAGCAGCAGATCTTCTTGGGCTTGATCTGGATGGGCGGGCAGGCCACCCATGTCTGCCAGTACTTGCGCTTGGCCTTGTCCGACTCCACGTAGTAGATGTCGTCGAAGCGCGGAGTGAACGGACAGGCCGTGTCCTCGGGATCGCAGAAGGGGTTCAGCCACATGGACACCGACTTTACGGCCTTGGGCTTCTTCTGGACCGGCGCCTGCAACGCCGGCTTGCCGCAGGGAAACTTGGTCAGCACCTTGGGGCACCTATTCTCGCCCTCGCCCTTCTCACAGCCCGACGCGAATCGCACACAGCTGCCCACCGCACTGCGCGCCACAGACTTTTGAAGGAGCAGTCCTCGAGAGGCATTTATACTCAGTGACATTCTGGAGCTCGGAAATTTGAAACAATAGACCGAAAAAGAAATCCAAAAGTTTAAGGCCGGATAAATTTAGGAGGAATTTGGAGGAGTACGATACTGGACGTGGGATACCAATCCAGCTCGAGGATGGAATGTGAACTGATGTTTGAGGGCTACCCCCTTTCCCAACCAAATGACATGCAACGAAAGTTTGTTTCTCGCTTACTAAGTTCACATTTTTTTGCCACTCTGGGTGAGGAAATCTAAAACATTGTAGGGACAACTTGGGGAGTAGAAGCGGGCACAATCCTTGACATCCATGCGATGTCTGTACTTGGCGTCGCCTATCTCCTCGGGCACTCTAAATAGAACAAATAGAATACTTAATGGGTTTTCTAAAAATATCTATAAGTTTATACTCACGTCAGCACAATCCGCATAAGATCCTCCATCAGGAAACCTTGATCATGGCCTGCACTGAACTTGGCTCTAAGTTCGCACATGACTCTCTTGATGCAAGACCTAAGATCCAACTGGAAACTGTGGGAAGATTACTAAATTGCGCTTTTAGTATCATAACAAATAGCTTACACTTTTCCCATGGCCTCGAACTGATCGAAAATTTCCCTACGCTCTCTATATCCCCGATTTAACTTCCAACTGGGCACTTGAGTCCAGGATTCGTAGACCTTTTCATCGGGTTGATAAGAGCTTCTTCGATTGGTAGTCGATGATAAGCTCCAGGGAGTTTGGTAGAAAGAATCCCTATTTAATGCGGTACTGGAAAATTAAACATTGAAGTTTTTTCACCAAAGATAATTTATAGGTTATTTACCTTGATTTATAGATCTCTTCTCTGGGTTTATAGAAATTTTTGCGATTAATGGGCGAAGATAGTTGCCAGGAAGCTTGATGGAATGAATCGCTATTTAATGCGGGATTTAAACATATTAATTTTTAAACTTTTTGTCTACAGATTATTATATTATTTATATATCGTTTACCTTGGTTTATAGACCTCTTCCCTGGGTTGATAGTAATTCTTGCTTTTAATGGGCGATGATAAATGCAAGGGAGTTTGGTAGAATAAATCCCTATTTAAGGCAGGACTGAAACATTGCACTTGTATCTACATACTTTCGTTTAAGATAAGTTATATTTCATTTACCTTGATTTCGTTTGGTAGAAATTTTCGCTTTTGCTTGAGGGCCTGAAACTTGGAATATAAATTTATGATGTTAAGGGATTAGTTTTAACTTACCTGGAGTAATACCCATTTTTATAAGGTGAAGAATAGTTTGAATAGTAGCTTGAAGGTCGTTTGTAATAAGACCAGTCCAAGCGTCGTTTTGGCGTGGGCTTGTGTTTGGGTTTTAGCCTCTTCAGAATCTTTGGCTGCCAGCCCTCAACGGTGTCGGGAAGTGGAACGTAGATGTCAAACTCCAGGCTGTACTGCAGGCCACTGGGTCGTCCGCCCACGATGATTTTGGTCAAGGCGGCGGTCAGCAGAATCGAAGCCTTGTCCGGAAAGACCAATCCCCGCACCCGTCGCGACAGAATGCGATTCTCGAAGGAGCCGGAAGTCTCCACCAGGTGGGTGCGATTGCCCTGAACCACGGCGAAGGCTCCAAGCCAAAGAAGTACCGAAATCGCGCACCTCATGCCGTCACTCCAAGAACCCAACTGATCCATGTGCCAGGTACTAGACGGTGAAAATTAACGCCCATGGGCAACACACGCTAATTAAGAAAGGGGAGCTGTCTTACAGCATCAGGTGGGCCATGATTCGTACGCAGCTTACATGTCACGCTGATTCGATGGAAGCGAACTCATTTCATTAGACGCCGCATCTTTAGAAGCAGGCTATGTTTTGGCATTTCAATCGTTCTACTTGTTAATCGAACTTTTTTAATACACACTTTAAACTACTAAACTGCACTACTCTCCGAGAATGGTGAACATTCACGGCGGCACCCGGATGATGGTTAACCGCTGCATCGAGCTGCTCCGGGCCCGGATAGAGTGCGCCTCGACGCGGCACATCGCCAGGCGGCACCAGCTGCCCCGGGCCCAAGGCCAGGTGTACAGCCACTACCTGCCCGTGGAGCAGGTGGTCCGGGAGCGGGAGAAGACGGACGTCTACAAGAAGAACAAGCGCCGGTCCATGTGGGAGCAGGACGAGGGCCACGGCGGTCGAAACTCCGGACGGGACGACCAGGAGCGCTTCGATGACGAGCAGTATCGACCGCAGGAACTGGAAGAGCGCATCTACGACCGCACCTGGTCCAATTTCCCGGAGAGTGTAGTGGCCAAGAAAAACCGCAGAAGAAGGGACATCGAAGTGATCGTTGACGAACCGCCCCGACGTCGCAAAGCTCAGGTATGTCTTCATAACATATCTCAAAAGACATTACAATTTCAAAATTATTTTTTTTTATATTTACATCAAATATAAAATTATTTTTAAATCGCATATGGCATTCAAATATTTAAATCATTATGAGTAATATTAAAATGAATTGTGTTTAGGCTTTACTTTAAATGATATTTTAGAGTTTAGATTTTAAAATCAATTCAGAGCATGTGTAATGAAAAATAAACAGTGTAATTTCCATACTAAAAATCGAAAGGGATGAAAATCAAAGCAACCATTTTAAATAATTGTATTCAAAAAAAATCTTATAAAAACCTAAATATATCTCCTCAACATGTTCAAAAATAACGCAAAAGAAGAACAATTTTAAAAACCGGTTTAAACAGATATTAGTTATAGATTTTTTTAGATTCATTTATGCTGTATACACTTGTTTTTTATTTATTTTCTATTAACGCTTATGTTTTTACCCTTTTCCCAGGAAGAACGGCCGAATACGGCCAAACCCTGTGATGACGAAGCCCGTGCCTTTATCAGCCAGTGGGACAGCAATGCGGCCATGATCAATCGCAACCGATTTGCCAGGCCCTCCGACAGCTGTCCGCCCCCAACTGTATCTCCTCGAATGTCAAACGCATATCAGACCCGGAATCGGCAGTTCTTCTACTAGTCTCGGCATTACCCGACAGTATCCGCATCAGAAATTCAAACAATTGTACTTCTTAGTGGCCTGATCAAATTGTTAGTGTGCAAGGCATGCGATTTTAAAGCGTCAAAATCCGAAAACGTATTGTATTGTTGTGTGGTTGTAGCCCAGATGTGATTTCCATATCGAAATAAATTATCAAAATTAATATCTATAAAGATGGCTCTTAGGTAAGGGTTAATTTAGTTTGTGTCAACACTATTGGCATATTCAAGTTCTAATCCACTGGTATTGGATGTATAATATTTTTTTTAGTATCTACATGCGAACCGAAAGATACATTTTAGTAACGGCCGTTCCACGGTCACACTGGTGCTCACGTTTAGTTGTTTATTTGTTCGGCGGTTGGTTTTTAATTGTTTTTCGGGCATGGCGCTCTTTAGAAACGCGTCTACCGGCTTTTGGGGCAGCTTCCGTCGGTTTGCCAGCAGCGGATGCACCATTTACAGCCTCAGTTCCGGTCATGTCAAGTGCGGCGTTTCCGTAATCCGCGTCTCCGGGCCGCAAACAAAGAAGGCACTCCGCGCCATTGTCGCCAATAAAGAATACGAGCCGAAGGCAAGTCAATTAATGTATATTAAACAAAGATTTTGGGGTCCGTGACCCACGCATTGAATTGGGTTCTTAAGCCCATTATTATTATGAGAGAGAACTACATATATGTAAAGGTCATTAAAATAGTGCAACGGCAAAACATCAATATAAGAACTTAAACCTTTAACATATCTTTTTTTTACAAATATTAAACAAAAAAACGTTTAATATACATTTTTACTACAAGCTTTATTGACCCAATCTTAACCCTCTGCCTTTCATGACCTTTTGATTTTATATATGTTCAGATGGAAAGTTACTTTGACCTATATAATTTTGCTAAGAATAACAAATATATTTTTGTATTAAGTTATTAACCCTATAGATATTAAAATTGAAATTCCCGAGTGAAAACGCCCGGTTTGAGATATGTAACAACATTAAGGATGGCATGTTGCCAAGTTGTATTCAAATATTTTTACTCACAAACAACAAAGTAATGTTGCTTTAGTCCTACGGCTGGGAAAATAAATATAAATCTTTTCCTGAAACCTGAGGAACGAAATTATAATGAATTGACGCTAAATATTATTTGTATTATTTGTTGATTATGCCGCATATTGAGCAATTCTTTTTACATTGTTATACAGCATACTTAGTTCATAAACAAAATATAATTAAACCGCCACTTTGAAATTAATCTATTGACGTCAAAATTATTCATTAGGATTTTTACCTTTTCCTTATCTAGATACTTGAAAAATTGTGTATCTTTTACCTTATCTAAGTAATTATTGTTGTCAATACCTTGTACCTTACCACCTCTGCTTAAAGTTAAACATAAAATATGTTGTTATTTATCCTAAAATTGTCTTTAAACAGGCCCGCCAGGCGTATCTGAAATCCTTCTACCACCCTGCCAGCAAGGAGATGATTGACCGAGGCCTTTTACTTTGGTTTCCCGGACCGGCTTCATTTACTGGCGAGGATTCCTGCGAATTCCAAGTACACGGATCCCTGGCCGTCATTGCGGCTATGCTGGATGCCCTGGGAAAAGTGGATGGTCTGAGGCCAGCGGAGCCAGGAGAGTTTACCAAGAGAGCGTTCTTCGGGGGCAAACTGGATTTGACGGAAGTGGAGGGACTAGCGGATCTCATCCATGCCGAAACGGAGGCGCAAAGGAAGCAGGTCAGTGGTACTATAGCTTCCAGTTATGGGTTCTACAACCTTTTCCCCTCCAGGCATTGCTGCAGAGCACTGGAGCCTTGGCCCGCCTCTACGACACCTGGCGCCGGCGACTTATCCGCTGTGCCGCCCACCTGGAGGCCTATATAGACTTCGCCGAGGAGGAGCAGATCGAGGGCGGCATCATCCTGCAACTCACCAAAGAACTGAAGGCGGTGAGGCGTGAGATACGCGAGCACTTGAGTGACCAGCGGCAAGGCGAGCTGCTCCGCGATGGAGTCCGCACGGTGATCATCGGAGCACCCAATGTGGGCAAGAGCAGCCTGCTCAATCTGCTGTGCCAGCGGTCCGTGTCCATAGTGACGGATCAGGCGGGCACCACCAGGGATATAATAGAAACCATGCACAATTTCGGCGGATACCCCGTGGTATTTGCGGATACGGCCGGACTGCGCAGAAATACCACGGATAGTATAGAACAGGAGGGAATGCAGAGAGCCAAGGACTGCCTGGCTCAATCCGATTTGATACTGCTCCTAGCGGACGCCAAGAACATCACACAACTGACTCACGATGACGCTGTAGCTCCATTTGTGGATAGTTATCTGGGAGAATTAGATATACCGCTGGACTTGTGCGCGGGAAAACGCCTGCAATTGGTGGCCAACAAAACGGACACTCTGTCGGATGAAGAGCACCAGCGGTTGGCCAGGCTTACCAAGGTATTGGCCATTTCCTGTCACAAGCCCGATAAGATGCCCGTTTTTCTGGGCGCTCTGGAAAAGCAGCTGCAGGAATTGTGCGGCGAACCAAGGGCGGAAAATCCACGGATTACGAACACACGCTACCGGCAGCAACTGGAGCGCTGCATAGAGAACATCGACATCTTTCTGCGAGATTACAGACCCGATGTTTACCCGGACATGGCCATCGCCGCCTCCAAGTTGCGCAACTCCGTGCGCTGCATCGAACGCATCACCGGACACATCAGCTGCGAAGATATACTCGACGTCGTGTTCAAAGACTTTTGTATTGGAAAGTAATTGATAACGTTAGTTTATAGTTGCTAGGCTCAAAGATTGTTCAGTACTGACCCGTTGAGTATTTAATAAAAATTTAACTTTTAGCCCATTAGTTTCATTGCGGATTTGGCATGCCTATACAGTAGAGTAGTTTATCAATAAGTAAAACAATTAATTAAAACATACAATTTATTAGTAGTTTTCTTTTAAATAATATTGGCTTGTCCTAAATAGAGGTCTTTGTATAAGCTTTGATTTATTCTATAATATATTTAATCTTAAGCTTATCGTGTAAACAGAATTATGTTTGTTTTGCAAGAGCTTAGATTATTTTCTTATTTTATGTTTTATAGATGTATATAAATAAATTGAACGAAAACATTTAGATCCTGAAAACTTGGATACATTTACCAAAAATAAATGTGTAGTTTTCAAATTAAATTTATAATTGAAGTTTAGTATAGCTTTAAAAACCCGTTACTGTAAGTGTGACCTTGCGCTAGGCGGCTACCATTTGGCGGTCAATGCCGACCTGGTCACACTGGAATTTATTGTTTACGTGTTGTGGTCGCAGAGATTAGTGATATTAGGAAAAGATGTCATCCTGGATCACAGGACTGGCGGACAAGGCCGAGAACATTCTGAACAAGCTCGACCAAAATGCGGCGACGGCCCTGCAGACGGACACTCCCACAGGAAGTGGTGCAGTGGATCCCATGCGCAGGAGCATGACCAGCAGCACCCAATCCCTGTCCCTGAAGTCCAATCTGTCGCCAGCGAGGCGTTCGGTCGCCACTAGCTCGTCGAGTGTGAAGAGCGAGGGAGGAGGCTCCGTGGTCACCAAGGAGCTGCGCCAGAAGTTGACCACGTCGGCCAGTTTCTCCCACAACAGCCCGGAGAACTCCGGCAACTCCATGGACACCACAGAACTGGCGGCCTTCAAAATCGCACTTAATGAGATCACAGCCGAAAGGGACGAACTGCGTCTCCGTTTGGACGAAATGGACAACGAAACCGAGAAGTTCGATTTGCATCAGCACAGCCAGGTGCTCGAAGTTCTGGTCAAGACTCTGTCCGAGGAGCGGGACAAGGCGGTTCACGACCACAATGAGGCCCAAAGCGCCAACATGGCTTATGTGCACTCCATCTCCGAGCTGGAGACCAATCTGGCCAAGCTGCAGCAGGAGTACATGAGCGCCGCCCACAAGCTGCGGATGCAAACCAAAGAAACCGATCAGCAGCGCCAGGAGCTGCAGGAGTATCGCATCAAGGCCCAGCGAGCCCTGCAGGCCAAGGATGCCCTCATCGCAGAACTAAGGGCCAAGCCCACGGAGGAGGGCTCGGATTCCAGCCTGGTGGCCAAGGACAGCGAGACGCGTTTCCTGCAGATCGAACATGAATCACTGAAACAAGAACTGGAGCACGCCAACGAGGAACTGCAGAAGGCCCGTCTGCAGCTGGAGGATTACCTTTCCCAGGAGCGACAACGCCAGGTGGAGCTGAGCTCGGCCCGCCAACGGGAGGAATCCCTGGCCAAGGAGTTGCGTCAGGCACGGGAACACAGTGTGGCCTCCGAGTCCGACCAGAGAATGCTCACCCAGGAGCTGGCCTCGCTCCGGCAGCAGCTCAGTAACCAGATGGCCGCCTCCGCCACGCGCCTCCAGGAGCGGGAACAGCAGCTGCAGCAGATGCGTCAGCGGCTCAGCGAGGAGGCCAATACCGGGGCCAAAAACGACTACGAGAAGCGGTTGAAGGCTCTGACCCAGTCGCTGGTCGAACGCCAGGGCCTGCTGGAGCGGGTAACCAGCGAGCGGAATGCCCTGAGATTGCAGCACGAGACGGCGCAAACGCAGCTGCAGCAAAACATGCACCTGGTGGAGATGGAGAGTCAGCGGGGCAGCTCCCGCAATCCCTTGCTCAACAGCACGGATGACGGTGAGTGTTATATATAGAACTTTATAAAAATGATCTCCTAAGTGTTTATATTTTTCCCAGTCAAAGCCCAATTCCCGCGTCTCATGCACCCAAGTCCTTTTGATAATCGCGTGGCCCGTCGTTTCAAGCGCGCCTTGCGTCAGGCGGACTCCATGGGCATCCGAGTGGGCACCTTCCTGCGTCGCTATCCCATGATGCGGGTCTCTGTGATCGTCTATGTGGCTCTGCTCCATCTCTGGGTCATGTTCGTGCTGCTCTCCACCACGCCAAACTAATTGAATCGAATCCATTTAGTTGAGCAATTGTTTTATTTTTAAATATTGTATGTATTGTAATTTACACGCCAAAATTGGATATCTAGGAGTACGAGTATATATGTGTGTCATGTTTATGGTTGCAACAATTTTATATATCGTTAGTATACTTGTGTGTTCGCACTCGTTCTAAATTCAATATTCAATAAACATCAACTATGTACAGAAATTGCAATTGGTTTAACGCTAAAAACATCAAGCAAACAAGTAACAAGACCGAAAAAAATCACACTACTACGTTATAGGATAGGGATACTAACGATTCCTCACAGTTAAAATATTGCATAAAGAATCCAACTACAGAGACTGTAAAGTTGTTAAGTAAACTTGAATTAGATTAACTGGGCAGAGCTGCTGACAGTTCTAGCTAAGCGGAAGAAAATAGAGAGTAGAGGCTTTTGGGACGATTCGCGTAAAATAGGCGCTATATGCCCCGCAAGTTTTTGTATCAGTCATCGGCATGGTAGCTCACATAGACGGCATCGCCACCAATGCTAATCAGGCACTGACCCTAGAAACAAACATTGGAGTGAATTAAAACCCATAAATAGTTAAAGATCTCTTGGGCCAACCTGATTCTTGTGCTGATTATCGAACAACATTAGTTCAGTGATGTAAAATGAGACCATGGCATTTCCGCCCAGCGAAGCGATGTGGGCCCTCACCACAGCCAGCAACTCAGTGATGAATCCATGGACAAACCCACTGATGCCGCCATTCTCCCTTATCGAAGTACTCTCTCGGATAAAGAAAAAGTTCAGGTTGCCCAAATATTTATCTATACGACCGCCGGGTATAAAGCTTAGAGGCGTCAAATCCACTCCGTAACGATCCCGCAGTGGACACTGTTTAGATATGTTCAATTTTATATTAGCAAAATAATAATCCAATTCATATACTTTGATTTAAGTAGTAGAATTTAGAAAACAATTTAGAATGGTATCAAATATATAACTGGAAAACTATGGGCTCTTGTTAAAACGAATAAACAATATAGGGAAAGGGATTTAGTGTACTTACATATCGATTACGGGGAACCGACCCAACATTTAACGACTTAACACCGGTGGATGGCAATCCAGACACCAGGTTGCTCAAACGTGATGGCGAAGTTTTGCGCATTTTGAAAGAACTCATGCCAAATGTGGGAATGGCGTTACTGGTTGGTGTGGGTGTGTCCACCATCTGATCCTCGTCCAGCGGGAAAATGTAATCCTCCTCCTGCAGCTGTCGTTTGCCATTCAGCTCTGGCTGGGATTGGGTGGCGTGCACCGTGGCATCGTGGAAGCCGTTCTGCTGTTGCTGCAGCTGAGCAGGGCGACCGCGTCCACGGTACTTCATTTTATTGGCATCGCTGAGACCCATGGCCATGCCAGTGACTAGCAGTTGAATTTGATCCTGCGGAGTAAAATGTAAATTAAGTAAAGTCTCAACTAAAACCCAATTTACTTACCGTTTCGGGCAGATCCAGTCGGAAGCGAAGATCGCAGATGGCGCAGGGTATCATGGTGCGCAGCTTAAAGTAAATGGTCTGCAGCAGTCTGAAGAAGGAAATATTTGTAAACTGATGACAATGTAATCAACATTTAGAACCCACCTCTGAAAGTGTTTGGGGAACCCGTTTACACTTTGTCCCACCTCCAGACGAGCGCGCCACACTTGGGTGAACATCTGCAGGTTCTTGACGGTGTCCATTTCCAGCATGCCCGGCACCTGCTGTGTATTGACCACATGGAAGCCTTCCGGCGGGTAAGGCTCCATTAACAGCGATATGATTTCCAAGTCCTCGATATCGTCCACCTCCAAGACACACAGCTCCTTGTTGCCGCAGTTCAGATCGATCTCGTTCATCTCCTCCTCATCGGAGTCGTCCGTATCCGATTGCTTATCCCCAGAGGCGCCGCTGGCTGCTGCTCCAGCCGCATTGGCTGCCAAGTCAGGATCCAAGCTTTTCAGCTGGTAGATCTCCTGGTTGCGCTCAAAGGTCTCCTGCAGCTTCTTCTGCAGTTCATTTAGCTTCTGCTTGTCGGTCCACGAATTGCCGGCCACGATCTTTGGCACCTGCGGCACCGGCAGGGCAGTCAGAAATAGAGCCGTTCCCGTGGCTATCAACGCTATCATGCGCTCCCCAATGGCCACCTGCGTGCGTAGCCCGAAAATGGCATTCATGCCCTTGGCCTTCAGCTTGTTGATCAGCACACGGTGTAGTTCGTACTCCAGGAAGGGCAGTCCATCCGAAATCTCTTTGGCATTCAGCTCCGCGCGCAGATCTCTTTTGGCGCGCACCACCTGGGCCTGCATGAAGCAACCACGCCCGGTGACCTGCATAAACTCAGGCACTTCCAGCGTGGCCAGTAGTACGTCCGGCACTCGTCCTTTGCGGCACACGGCGCACTTCTTCATCTTCACGTTGAAGGGCACCGAGCTTAGGTTGTAGGGTATGTGGCAGATGGCACAGGCGTTCCTTGGACCATTGAGCGGAGGCAGGCCATAGCGCTTGCCCCCCGAACTGTTCCCGGTGCCCAGGGATCCGCTGTCCTTGCCAATGCTCGTGTCTCCGGCGCTGCTGCCATTTCCATCCTCAACGGAATTCGTCATGCCCGCCACGCTGGCGGTTGCCTTGGACATAGTGAAGATATCGGTTTGAGATACAGATCGATTGAACACCATGTTGATGACCGCCGCCGTTCCAGTAGCAGATAATACGCAGACATCGTCTCTGCAAAACAGCGATAGGGTATTAATTATGCTTATCTCAACAGGTTCAGAAAGGTTCAGGTTCTGAATACAAATTGCTGATCTATCTGGACTGTTTAAATTTTAACTGGAATTTTATAGATAAGATATTAATATTT